CTTAAGAATCATGGGGAGAAAGCCATGAGTTCCGTGCTTTGCTTTCTCCTCCTCTGGAATTCCGCTGCTCTCCTTGGTATTGAAACTGCACTCCTTGGTAGGTGAATTTGGTCCTGGCTGGGTTTCTTGTTGATCTTCTGGGGGAGGGGCCTTTTGTAGTGATTCTCAAGTGTCTTTGCCCCAGGCAGAGTTGCACTGCTCTTACCAGGGGTCGGGCTGAGTAATCCGCTCGGGTTTGCTTTTGGGAGCTTTTGTTCCCTGAGCGCTTTCCGTAGAGTTCCAGAGGGCAGGAATGAAGATGGTGGCCTCCCAGTCTCCAGCCTGGAGAAGCCGAGAGCCCGGGGCCCCACTCCTCAGTGCGCCCTCAGAGAACAGTGCCCAATTACTCCCGTCACCCTGCCCCTGGCCATGCTCCGTGCTGACCAAGCCTGCGACCGGTTCAAGGTAACCCCGAGCTGTGAGCTCACTCCTCAGCTCTGTCTCTGTAGCTGGCTTCCCCGTTATAATACCTGTAAGCTCTGCGACACTCAGACACCCCCGATCCTTCTGTGACCCTGCAGGACCTGAGGCAACTCTGACCCCGCGTGGGCCTCACCCCGGTTTAGCCTCTGGAGCGATGTCCCTCAGCAAAACAGACTTTTAAAAGTCCAGATTTTGTGCTCCATTGCTCTGCTGCTTGCCGGGAGCCGGCCCCTCCCCCCGCGGTCTATCTTCCCGTCGCTTTGGATTCACTTCTCCGCCAGTCCTACCTTTCAGAAAGTGGTTGATTTTCTGTTTCTAGAATTGCTGTTCTTCTTCTCTTCGATCTCCCGTTGGATTTGTAGGTGTTTGCAATCTTTAGATAAGCTATCTAGCTGATCTCCTGCTACCTGAAGTAGTCTCAGCCTGCTACTTCTCCGCCATCTTGACTCCTCCCCCTCTTTTTATGTTTCTTAAACCAATTTTATTGAGGTATAATGGACTTAAACTACATATTTGAAATGCATCATGTTACAACATATATTTACACCCATTAAACCATCACTGTAATCAAGATAATAAACATATCCATTATCCCCCAGGTTTCCTTGTGGCCCCCTTTGTAATTTCTACCTCCTGTCCTTCTCTCCCCCTTCCCATTCCTCTGCCCAGTCCACCCTTGGCCCCATCTCCCCGCCACCACTGAGCTGCTTTCTGTCACATTAGATTAGTCTGCATTTCCTAGAATTCTATACAAGTGGGATTACACAAAATAATTATGCCGGCTTCTCTGATTTAGCGTAATTATTTTGAGATGCATCCATAATGTAGTGAAAATCGGTAATTCATCCTTTTTACTGCCGAGTAGTGTTCCATCATATGAATAATGAATATGTCACAGTTTGTTTCTCCATTTACCTGTGGATGGATATTCGAGTTGTTTTCAGGTTTTAATATTTTAAAACTAAAGCTGCCACGAAAATTTGTGTACAAATCTTTGTTTCCTACACATGCTTTTGTTTTTCTTGGATAGATACCTAGGAGTAGAATAGGTGGGTTATAGACTCAGTGTATATTTGTTAAGTAACTGTCAAACTGTTTTCTGAAGTTTTAATTTATGTTCTGACCAGCACTGTGTGAGTTCCAGTTACATCCTCACCAATACTTGATTTGGGCAGTAATGTGTGTGTGTGTGTGTGTGTGTGTGTGTGGTTTATAATTTAGTTGACATTAGTTCTAACTCATATTGCCTATTGATAGGATTTTGGAAGTGGTGACAGTGCATAGGTAACAATGTATAGAGCTTGTTTGGTGAATCTCCATCTTCCTTATGCTTTCTGGGTGACCGTATACTGATTTGGTGTGGCCCATTCCTTATTCCTTTGGCCCAGGCAGCTCTGTTGTACCTGGAGTCCATGCGCACATCTGAAATTCCCAAATCTTTCCTTGCAGATTTCTGGATGTCTCTACCCAAGGGGGCTTACTTCTTGAAACTCACTCCACAGATATGCCTTTGAATGTAAATTTTGGACTTTCTAAATAGTATGCTTTGTAGTATAATATAGTACAGTTTATATAGTATACTAAGTAGTATACTAGTAGTGTAGTAACATCTCATTGTGGTTTTATTTTGCATTTCTTTGATACCTAAGGTTGTTGAGCATCTTTTATGTTTATTTGTCATTTGTCTATCTTCTTTGGTGAAGTGTGTATTCAAATCTTGTGACCCCACTTCTGAAAACTGGGTTGTTTGTGTTCCTATTATGGTATTTTTTAAAAAGATTTTATTTATTTATTTGATAGATCACAAGTAGTCAGAGAGGCAGGCAGAGAGAGAGAGGGGGAAGCAGGCCCCCCACTGAGCAGAGAGCCCGATGCAGGGCTCGATCCCAGGACCCTGAGATCATGACCTGAGCCAAAGGCAGAAGCTTTAACCCACTGAGCCACCCAGGCTCCCCCTATTACGGTATTTTGAGAAGAGTTCTTTATCTATTCTGGATACAAGTCCTTTGTCAAATCTGAGATTTGCAAATATTTTCTCCCCTTATGTGGCTTGTCTTTTCTTTCTCTTAACAGTGTCTTTCAAAGAGCAGAAGTTTTTAATTTTTATGAAATTTATCATAACACTTTTTTTTTTTACAGATTATGATTTCAGTATCATATATAAGAAATCTTTGCCTGACCCAAGGCCACAAAGATTTTCTCCTATATTTTCTTCTAGAAGTTTTATAGTTTTGGGCTTTGTATTGTGGTCTATGATGCAATTAGAGTTTATTTTTGAATATGATGTAGGAGGCACAGATTCAAGTTGATTTTTTTGCACGTGGATATCTGGTTGTTCCAGGACCATTTGATGAAGAGGCTATTGTATTAGCTCCCTACTGTTGTGTAACAAATTACACCAAAACTTAGTGGCTTAAAGCATAAAACAGTCACATTTTTTATCCCATGTCTCATGATGCTCCTTTTTTAAAAAATTATTTGGGGCGCCTGGGTGGCTCAGCAGGTTAAAGCCTCTGCCTTCGGCTCAGGTCATGATTCCTGGGTCCTGGGATCGAGCCCTGCATCGGGCTCTCTGCTCACTAGAGGGCCTGCTTCCTCCTCTCTCTCTGCCTGCCTCTCTGCCTGCTTGTGATCTCTGTCAAATAAATAAATAAATAAAATCTTTTTTTTTTTTTTTAATTAAAAAATTATTTTCTCTTTGTGTTTCATTTTGGTTGTTTTTTCTTGTTTTGCCTTTAATTTCACTAGTCTTTTCTTCTGCAATGGGTGATTTGCTGCCTGTCCCATAGGGTGTAATTTTCAGATCTCAAAGCTCAAGCCTTTTTTTTTTCCCCCCAGGTCTTTTTTAATACTCTCCCATGTTTCTACTTAGCTTTTTGAACCTATGGAATACAGTTATAACTGCCTTTTTAAATTTTTTTTAAGATTTCGTTTATTTACCTGACAGAGCAGGAACACAAGCAGGGGGGTGGGAGAGGGAAAAGCAGGCTCCCTGCTTGGCATGGGTCTCAGTCACAACCCAAGCAGAAGGAAGATGCCCAACGACTGAGCCATCCAGGCACCCCAATAACTGTCTTAAAGTCCTTCTCTGCTAATTCTAACATATGCGTTCAGTTTCGAGTGGGTTTCTTTTGATTCTCTCATCATTTTGGGTCGTGTTTTTCTGTCTCTTTGCATGCCTGGTTATCTTGGATTGCATACTAGATGCTGTTGTGTCACCTTTTTGAATGCTAGATATTTTTGTATTCCTACCAATCTTCTTGAATTTTGTTCTGGGATGCATTTAAGTTTCTTGGAACCAACTTGATCTTTTAGGTGTTGTTTTTATGATTTGTTAGGTACATCTGAAGTAGTGCTCAATCCTGGGCTAATTACTCCCCACTACTGAAGCAAGACTTTTCCAAGGACTGTACTCAATGTTCTGTAGATTATAATTTTTCCCATCTGTCTGGTGGGAACAGGCATTGTCCCCAACCATGTGTAAGCACCTGGCACCGATCCTCGAATCGTTGTTGGTAGTTCTTCCCCAGCCTTGGATAGTTTCCTCACATTCGTGCCCTGAGGAATGTTTTGCCGAACACTCAGGGGGCTATCTACAGATTTCTGGAGCTATCTCTGTTCAGCTCTCTCCTTTCCAGTCCTCTGTCCTGCAAATTCTGTCCGCTGTGCTGTTCCTGGACACTCAGCTCTGTCTCCACAGCTCAGGAGGTCCACCTGACCACTGTGCCATGACCTGGAAATTCTCTGAGGCAGTAAGCTAACACAGTTGTAAATCTGTTGCTTTGTTTTGCTTTTTCAAGTGGGAGTGTAAATTTATTACTCTGTCTTTCCAGTATTAGAGTTTTGAATAATTTGCAAGTGTTTTTAAAAATGCCTTTTAAAATCTTTTATATCTTTTTTTGGGGGCACCAGGGTGGCATAGTCAATTAAGTATCCAGCTCTTGGTTTCAGCTCAGGTCCTGATCTCAGGGTCATGAGAGCCTGGCTCAGGCCCCACACTCAGCATGGAGTCTGCTCGAGATTCTCTCTCCCTCTGTCCCCCAACTTGTGCGTGCGCACCTTCTCTCTCTCTTGCTAAAATAAATAAATACGTATCTTCAAAAAAATAATTTAAAAATAAAATTTTAAATATTTTTTATATCTCCCCATTTTTGCCCCCCATTCTGATCTTTTATTTTAAAAGGAAACTACTTAAAAAAAAAAAAAAGGAAACTACTTGAATAGAGACTGCTTAGATTAGAGACCTGGACCCATCTCCTTAATAGGGAATCTTGGACAAGTCGTTTATATTTTAGAAAAAAATGGAGATGGCAGTAATATGCATCCATTCAGTTGGTGTGATAATGAAATGAGGCACATAACAGCCAGCGGGCTCATAGTCAGTGGGGACACACTGCACATGGAGCAGAAGGTCACCCTTCAGTAATTCTCGTGTCCTGTCGTTCAGCCTTCAGCTTGCTGGTTTGCATCTCACCTTCTCCCTGGCATGTGTTTGTCTAGATCTGCTCTGGCTGCAGTCATCCTAGCAACAACGCTGACCGGCCGGACTGTTGCCATTCCTCAGCCTCGCCAGAGATCCCTATCTGAGAGTGACACGACCTGCGTTGAAAAGGACAGTTTCATCGAGCCCTATGCCACCACCTCCGAGCTGAGGCTTCGGTGAGGACCCTGTCGCCGGCTCTGCTGCGTCTCTGACAGACGTGCCCCAGCTCATGTGTGCGTGCGTGTGCGCGTGCTTGTGCGTGCTTATGCCTGCTTATGCGTGCCGTGACTGGAGTTACTACTCAGGTTTTCATCACCAGGGGTCAAAGGGACGCTGTCCTGGGACATTGATTGCTTTTGACACCTCTCTGAATTCTCTCTTGGGTGGCTCTTGTGAGATTATGGCTCGTGAAAGCCCTGGGTGTTTTCCTGGCCGCACAGAGCCAGCGAGTTCAGGGCAGCCTTCAGCCCCTCACGGGACTGTCCCATGCCACCACCTCGATGCGAGAGCTGTCACCCACCACCTCTTGTGTGGCCCTCTCTGAACATTGCTGCTGATTTTACCATCTTTGGCACCTATATTACAACTTTTTCTCTTCTTTCACATCATGTGCTCTGTTGTTTGAGCTGGGCGACCGCCGACGTCGGGCTGGGCGGTCAGCAGGGTTTCCTCGTAAGAAGAGAGCACTGGCAGCAGAGCTGAGGAAGGTATAGGGAGTGCCTGGGAACGCCTCAGGGGCTTGGGGGAAATGGTCAGTGTGGGGCTCGGATGAGCTTTCAGGACAGAAGAGGGAACATGACACAAGGACAGATGTGGGCAGCTGAAGGAAGATGTTTGTGGCAGGGGCTGGGGCACTTGGGTGAGGTGGGCAGTCATTCAAGATGGCCTGGAGGAGTGGGAAGGGGCCAGCCTGGTGATGCCTTTGGTGGCCCATTCTGAGGTTTGGGCCGCCCCACCCCCTCCCGCTAGCTTTAAGGGCTTATGGGGTAGGGTTGGGGGAATACATGACCAGATTAGCCTTTTATCTGTCATGTTTATTCAATTTTGTTTTTTGAGGGTTTTTGTGTGTGTGTGTGTGTGTGTGTGTGTGTGTTTTGCATACCTTTTTATGCAGTAAGATCTATCAGTCTTTGTAGTTTCTGACATTATTGTGAAATCTAATTTTTTTTTTTTTTTTAAGATTTTACTTATTTATTTGTCAGAGAGAGAGAGGGAAAGAGAGCGAGTACAGGCAGACAGAATGGCAGGCCGAGGCAGAGGGAGAAGCAGGCTCCCTGCAGAGCAAGCAGCCCGATGTGGGACTCGATCCCAGGACGCTGGGATCATGACCTGAGCCGAAGGCAGCTGCCCAACCAACTGAGCCACCCAGGCGTCCCCATTATTGTGAAATCTAGAAAGGCCTTCCCTATTCTTTTTTTTTTTTAAATTTTTTAATTAACGTATAATGTATTATTAGCCCCAGAGGTACAGGTCTGTGAATTGCCAGGTTGGCCTTCCCTATTCTGTGAATGCTCACTTATTTCCTTTTAGGACATGTTAATATTTTTGGTTTTCACATTTTAATCTTGACTTCATTCTGAGATGTTTGAATATAGCCTGCTTTCCTCATAAGAATTTCACTTTAGCTGGATTAGAATTTAAAGATGAGGAAATGATCTTAAACTTCACTAGAAAGAATGAGCAGGTAAGACCAACAGAGGAAATCCAGAAAGAAAGAGTTTTGACTTGGGAGAGGGCTGGATTAGCCACATCATACTTAAAATGCAGGTGTTTGCAATCTTTAGATAAGCTATCTAGCTGATCTCCTGCTACCTGAAGTAGTCTCAGCCTGCTACTTCTCCGCCATCTTGACTCCTCCCCCTCTTTTTATGTTTCTTAAACCAATTTTATTGAGGTATAATGGACTTAAACTACATATTTGAAATGCATCATGTTACAACATATATTTACACCCATTAAACCATCACTGTAATCAAGATAATAAACATATCCATTATCCCCCAGGTTTCCTTGTGGCCCCCTTTGTAATTTCTACCTCCTGTCCTTCTCTCCCCCTTCCCATTCCTCTGCCCAGTCCACCCTTGGCCCCATCTCCCCGCCACCACTGAGCTGCTTTCTGTCACATTAGATTAGTCTGCATTTCCTAGAATTCTATACAAGTGGGATTACACAAAATAATTATGCCGGCTTCTCTGATTTAGCGTAATTATTTTGAGATGCATCCATAATGTAGTGAAAATCGGTAATTCATCCTTTTTACTGCCGAGTAGTGTTCCATCATATGAATAATGAATATGTCACAGTTTGTTTCTCCATTTACCTGTGGATGGATATTCGAGTTGTTTTCAGGTTTTAATATTTTAAAACTAAAGCTGCCACGAAAATTTGTGTACAAATCTTTGTTTCCTACACATGCTTTTGTTTTTCTTGGATAGATACCTAGGAGTAGAATAGGTGGGTTATAGACTCAGTGTATATTTGTTAAGTAACTGTCAAACTGTTTTCTGAAGTTTTAATTTATGTTCTGACCAGCACTGTGTGAGTTCCAGTTACATCCTCACCAATACTTGATTTGGGCAGTAATGTGTGTGTGTGTGTGTGTGTGTGTGTGTGGTTTATAATTTAGTTGACATTAGTTCTAACTCATATTGCCTATTGATAGGATTTTGGAAGTGGTGACAGTGCATAGGTAACAATGTATAGAGCTTGTTTGGTGAATCTCCATCTTCCTTATGCTTTCTGGGTGACCGTATACTGATTTGGTGTGGCCCATTCCTTATTCCTTTGGCCCAGGCAGCTCTGTTGTACCTGGAGTCCATGCGCACATCTGAAATTCCCAAATCTTTCCTTGCAGATTTCTGGATGTCTCTACCCAAGGGGGCTTACTTCTTGAAACTCACTCCACAGATATGCCTTTGAATGTAAATTTTGGACTTTCTAAATAGTATGCTTTGTAGTATAATATAGTACAGTTTATATAGTATACTAAGTAGTATACTAGTAGTGTAGTAACATCTCATTGTGGTTTTATTTTGCATTTCTTTGATACCTAAGGTTGTTGAGCATCTTTTATGTTTATTTGTCATTTGTCTATCTTCTTTGGTGAAGTGTGTATTCAAATCTTGTGACCCCACTTCTGAAAACTGGGTTGTTTGTGTTCCTATTATGGTATTTTTTAAAAAGATTTTATTTATTTATTTGATAGATCACAAGTAGTCAGAGAGGCAGGCAGAGAGAGAGAGGGGGAAGCAGGCCCCCCACTGAGCAGAGAGCCCGATGCAGGGCTCGATCCCAGGACCCTGAGATCATGACCTGAGCCAAAGGCAGAAGCTTTAACCCACTGAGCCACCCAGGCTCCCCCTATTACGGTATTTTGAGAAGAGTTCTTTATCTATTCTGGATACAAGTCCTTTGTCAAATCTGAGATTTGCAAATATTTTCTCCCCTTATGTGGCTTGTCTTTTCTTTCTCTTAACAGTGTCTTTCAAAGAGCAGAAGTTTTTAATTTTTATGAAATTTATCATAACACTTTTTTTTTTTACAGATTATGATTTCAGTATCATATATAAGAAATCTTTGCCTGACCCAAGGCCACAAAGATTTTCTCCTATATTTTCTTCTAGAAGTTTTATAGTTTTGGGCTTTGTATTGTGGTCTATGATGCAATTAGAGTTTATTTTTGAATATGATGTAGGAGGCACAGATTCAAGTTGATTTTTTTGCACGTGGATATCTGGTTGTTCCAGGACCATTTGATGAAGAGGCTATTGTATTAGCTCCCTACTGTTGTGTAACAAATTACACCAAAACTTAGTGGCTTAAAGCATAAAACAGTCACATTTTTTATCCCATGTCTCATGATGCTCCTTTTTTAAAAAATTATTTGGGGCGCCTGGGTGGCTCAGCAGGTTAAAGCCTCTGCCTTCGGCTCAGGTCATGATTCCTGGGTCCTGGGATCGAGCCCTGCATCGGGCTCTCTGCTCACTAGAGGGCCTGCTTCCTCCTCTCTCTCTGCCTGCCTCTCTGCCTGCTTGTGATCTCTGTCAAATAAATAAATAAATAAAATCTTTTTTTTTTTTTTTAATTAAAAAATTATTTTCTCTTTGTGTTTCATTTTGGTTGTTTTTTCTTGTTTTGCCTTTAATTTCACTAGTCTTTTCTTCTGCAATGGGTGATTTGCTGCCTGTCCCATAGGGTGTAATTTTCAGATCTCAAAGCTCAAGCCTTTTTTTTTTCCCCCCAGGTCTTTTTTAATACTCTCCCATGTTTCTACTTAGCTTTTTGAACCTATGGAATACAGTTATAACTGCCTTTTTAAATTTTTTTTAAGATTTCGTTTATTTACCTGACAGAGCAGGAACACAAGCAGGGGGGTGGGAGAGGGAAAAGCAGGCTCCCTGCTTGGCATGGGTCTCAGTCACAACCCAAGCAGAAGGAAGATGCCCAACGACTGAGCCATCCAGGCACCCCAATAACTGTCTTAAAGTCCTTCTCTGCTAATTCTAACATATGCGTTCAGTTTCGAGTGGGTTTCTTTTGATTCTCTCATCATTTTGGGTCGTGTTTTTCTGTCTCTTTGCATGCCTGGTTATCTTGGATTGCATACTAGATGCTGTTGTGTCACCTTTTTGAATGCTAGATATTTTTGTATTCCTACCAATCTTCTTGAATTTTGTTCTGGGATGCATTTAAGTTTCTTGGAACCAACTTGATCTTTTAGGTGTTGTTTTTATGATTTGTTAGGTACATCTGAAGTAGTGCTCAATCCTGGGCTAATTACTCCCCACTACTGAAGCAAGACTTTTCCAAGGACTGTACTCAATGTTCTGTAGATTATAATTTTTCCCATCTGTCTGGTGGGAACAGGCATTGTCCCCAACCATGTGTAAGCACCTGGCACCGATCCTCGAATCGTTGTTGGTAGTTCTTCCCCAGCCTTGGATAGTTTCCTCACATTCGTGCCCTGAGGAATGTTTTGCCGAACACTCAGGGGGCTATCTACAGATTTCTGGAGCTATCTCTGTTCAGCTCTCTCCTTTCCAGTCCTCTGTCCTGCAAATTCTGTCCGCTGTGCTGTTCCTGGACACTCAGCTCTGTCTCCACAGCTCAGGAGGTCCACCTGACCACTGTGCCATGACCTGGAAATTCTCTGAGGCAGTAAGCTAACACAGTTGTAAATCTGTTGCTTTGTTTTGCTTTTTCAAGTGGGAGTGTAAATTTATTACTCTGTCTTTCCAGTATTAGAGTTTTGAATAATTTGCAAGTGTTTTTAAAAATGCCTTTTAAAATCTTTTATATCTTTTTTTGGGGGCACCAGGGTGGCATAGTCAATTAAGTATCCAGCTCTTGGTTTCAGCTCAGGTCCTGATCTCAGGGTCATGAGAGCCTGGCTCAGGCCCCACACTCAGCATGGAGTCTGCTCGAGATTCTCTCTCCCTCTGTCCCCCAACTTGTGCGTGCGCACCTTCTCTCTCTCTTGCTAAAATAAATAAATACGTATCTTCAAAAAAATAATTTAAAAATAAAATTTTAAATATTTTTTATATCTCCCCATTTTTGCCCCCCATTCTGATCTTTTATTTTAAAAGGAAACTACTTAAAAAAAAAAAAAAGGAAACTACTTGAATAGAGACTGCTTAGATTAGAGACCTGGACCCATCTCCTTAATAGGGAATCTTGGACAAGTCGTTTATATTTTAGAAAAAAATGGAGATGGCAGTAATATGCATCCATTCAGTTGGTGTGATAATGAAATGAGGCACATAACAGCCAGCGGGCTCATAGTCAGTGGGGACACACTGCACATGGAGCAGAAGGTCACCCTTCAGTAATTCTCGTGTCCTGTCGTTCAGCCTTCAGCTTGCTGGTTTGCATCTCACCTTCTCCCTGGCATGTGTTTGTCTAGATCTGCTCTGGCTGCAGTCATCCTAGCAACAACGCTGACCGGCCGGACTGTTGCCATTCCTCAGCCTCGCCAGAGATCCCTATCTGAGAGTGACACGACCTGCGTTGAAAAGGACAGTTTCATCGAGCCCTATGCCACCACCTCCGAGCTGAGGCTTCGGTGAGGACCCTGTCGCCGGCTCTGCTGCGTCTCTGACAGACGTGCCCCAGCTCATGTGTGCGTGCGTGTGCGCGTGCTTGTGCGTGCTTATGCCTGCTTATGCGTGCCGTGACTGGAGTTACTACTCAGGTTTTCATCACCAGGGGTCAAAGGGACGCTGTCCTGGGACATTGATTGCTTTTGACACCTCTCTGAATTCTCTCTTGGGTGGCTCTTGTGAGATTATGGCTCGTGAAAGCCCTGGGTGTTTTCCTGGCCGCACAGAGCCAGCGAGTTCAGGGCAGCCTTCAGCCCCTCACGGGACTGTCCCATGCCACCACCTCGATGCGAGAGCTGTCACCCACCACCTCTTGTGTGGCCCTCTCTGAACATTGCTGCTGATTTTACCATCTTTGGCACCTATATTACAACTTTTTCTCTTCTTTCACATCATGTGCTCTGTTGTTTGAGCTGGGCGACCGCCGACGTCGGGCTGGGCGGTCAGCAGGGTTTCCTCGTAAGAAGAGAGCACTGGCAGCAGAGCTGAGGAAGGTATAGGGAGTGCCTGGGAACGCCTCAGGGGCTTGGGGGAAATGGTCAGTGTGGGGCTCGGATGAGCTTTCAGGACAGAAGAGGGAACATGACACAAGGACAGATGTGGGCAGCTGAAGGAAGATGTTTGTGGCAGGGGCTGGGGCACTTGGGTGAGGTGGGCAGTCATTCAAGATGGCCTGGAGGAGTGGGAAGGGGCCAGCCTGGTGATGCCTTTGGTGGCCCATTCTGAGGTTTGGGCCGCCCCACCCCCTCCCGCTAGCTTTAAGGGCTTATGGGGTAGGGTTGGGGGAATACATGACCAGATTAGCCTTTTATCTGTCATGTTTATTCAATTTTGTTTTTTGAGGGTTTTTGTGTGTGTGTGTGTGTGTGTGTGTGTGTGTTTTGCATACCTTTTTATGCAGTAAGATCTATCAGTCTTTGTAGTTTCTGACATTATTGTGAAATCTAATTTTTTTTTTTTTTTTAAGATTTTACTTATTTATTTGTCAGAGAGAGAGAGGGAAAGAGAGCGAGTACAGGCAGACAGAATGGCAGGCCGAGGCAGAGGGAGAAGCAGGCTCCCTGCAGAGCAAGCAGCCCGATGTGGGACTCGATCCCAGGACGCTGGGATCATGACCTGAGCCGAAGGCAGCTGCCCAACCAACTGAGCCACCCAGGCGTCCCCATTATTGTGAAATCTAGAAAGGCCTTCCCTATTCTTTTTTTTTTTAAATTTTTTAATTAACGTATAATGTATTATTAGCCCCAGAGGTACAGGTCTGTGAATTGCCAGGTTGGCCTTCCCTATTCTGTGAATGCTCACTTATTTCCTTTTAGGACATGTTAATATTTTTGGTTTTCACATTTTAATCTTGACTTCATTCTGAGATGTTTGAATATAGCCTGCTTTCCTCATAAGAATTTCACTTTAGCTGGATTAGAATTTAAAGATGAGGAAATGATCTTAAACTTCACTAGAAAGAATGAGCAGGTAAGACCAACAGAGGAAATCCAGAAAGAAAGAGTTTTGACTTGGGAGAGGGCTGGATTAGCCACATCATACTTAAAATGCGTAGTTGAAGTAGTGTAAACAGTAGGGCTGGCTATATAGAGAGGTGCATGTAGTTGAAGTAGTGTAAACAGTAGGGCTGGCTATATAGAGAGGTGCCTGTGGATGCCCTGAGGGAAACTGGGGTTTGCATGCCGGGTGATGGTTTCATAAAGACCACTTCACAGAGCAAAGAGGAGGGAAGGGATTCGACAGTATAGTGATTAGCAGCAGTAGAAAAAAAATCTGCTTCCAGCCTTGCCTAGTTCAAATACCAAACAAATTCCTATTTAAATGAAAGGAATTTGTTCCTTTTATTTATGAAATGAAATTTATGTGTATGTTTATATTTATGTGTATGAACATACTCATAAATAAGAGCAGGAAATCCTATAGTCAGTGTTACCAAACCTCTGAAGTAGATGCCTGCAGTGCCCTTCTAAGCTAAGAATTTAGAAGGTAAAAAAGTGTTTTTTAATTATCTGTATGTTAAAAAAGAAATTTACATAGCCACAATTGAATTAATAGAATAGGAAAAATACTTACAGTAAATACAAGTTTTGTTTTTGTAGATAAATATAGATTAATTATAGATTAAATTTGAATTGAAATAGACCTATTAGAAGCAAAGTAGATCAGTAGACAAAGGGCATGAACAGACAGTTCACCACACAATTATTGCACACAAACAAATGGAAATATATTTTTTTTGGTAAGAAATGCAAGATTTGGGGTGCCTGGGTGGCTCAGTGGGTTAAGCCTCTGCCTTCAGCTCAGGTCATGATCTCAGAGTCCTGGGATCGAGCCCCACATGGGGCTCTCTGCTCAGCAGGGAGCCTGCTTTCCCCCCTCTCTCTCTGCCTGCCTCTCTGCCTGCCTCTCTGCCTACTTGTGATCTCTCTCTCTCTCTCTCTCTCTCTGTCAAATAAATAAATAAATAAATAATTTTTAAAAAATTAATAAAAAAAAGAAATGCAAGATTTATACATGAGATTTAAATTCTTTTGCCAAGTTTTAGAAAATTGTTGCTAATGGAGTCACTATTGTAGCTGATTGGTGAAATGATTTTGTGTAGTATGCCTGTAGACCCCCAAAAGAGTCATATCATTTAACTCAGCAGTTTACTGTACAGTTATCTGGTTCATAAGATGGATCCTAAATATGGAAGAGATTATTTGCATGTAGATGTTCATTACAGAGCGATTTGTAACAATGATAATGGGGGGGGACTTAAGTATAGGAAGTAGCTGACTAAACTTGTATATCTATTTGGGTCTTACCTTTAACATTTTGACTTTAAATATGTGTTACCAATGAGGCAAACTGTATATGTAGGCAGTGATAGGAACTAGAAAAGCCTACGTTAAGAGGCTTGTGTTACAATGCAGAAAGAAATGCTGAGTGTACAAGGAGATGGGATTGTGGGCGACTTAATTCTTTAGCTTCTGTATGTTTTGTAAGGTGGTTGTAATCATTTTATGGTGGGAACTTGGAGGTGGGTCCATATACTGATGTGAAGTGTTCGGGGGTTTGCTTGTTTTGTTTATTTTGCTCCCGACCTTTTAATGCAGACCAAATTGGCAGAATGAGACTGGAAGAAGATCTTCTTTGCCATCCTTTGAAACTCTGGGCTCCAGGGAGGAGGAGGAGGACACGGACGCACAGCTGTCGTCTGGCTGCGACGAGTTGGAGGATGTCAGTGCTCCCAAAGCAGAGGGAAGTCTCAGTGCTGCCGTGTATGCCGTGCCCCACAGAAACCAGGTGTGGCTCACATTCCAGAACGTCTTCTGCACCCTGTTAGCTTACTGTAAAATTGTGTAGAGTGCACCAGTAAGGATTTTCTTTTTTCTCTTCTGCCTTTAATGGCTTTTGTCTGGAGGCTGATTTTCTGAACACAGTCAGTGTCACGTTTTTTTATCTGGTCAGGCAACAGATTTCAGACTCTTTCCTTTATTGTTCAAAGACAGGGCCTTCAGAGACAAAGGTAAACATCCTCACATTCTCAATGTAGATTTCCAGCCAATGCTAAGTAAACCCACTCTTTCCTCTGGCCCCCGAGGCTACTCTTTTCCTGTCACTTTTCCAGTGTCAACATGCATGTTGCAACCTTTCTTCAAATGCGTGCCCGACAAGAGGAATGTTGTCATTCACCTCAGTAGTAGCTGACACTCTTTGAGCGCTTACCATACGGGAGTCTCTGTTGCAACCTCTTCCGCGCAGTTCGCCCCCACTGCCTCGGTGAGGTAGGTTGCATTTACGGCCCTGTCATGAGGGAGGAACCATGGTACAGAGAGGCTGATGGAGCCCATTCTTCCACCGCTGCCCGAGCTGCTCTGGTTTCAATTCCGTGCTCCCAGGGTTTGGGAAACTAGGTATCGCTGTTTCTTTAATGGCAAAAGACAGCACCCTAATTTCTTTTTCTTTTCTCTCTCTCAGTGTCACTATAACACGTGTTACAGTGACTATATATACAGACTTGCAGCATCAAATGGTGTTCAGATTGTATTTCTATTGAGTACCCCCTACTGTATGGAATCAAACATTCAGTGGTCCTGGGGAGCTTAGTTTGAAGAGTCCTTCTCTGAGTGTTTCATGAACTAACCATCCATCACTTTGTAACACATGCAGACTGTAGCAAGCAGAGTGAGGTTTCTCTACAACAGGGAGGCTGGAACAGGTAGATGGCGGCCGAGCCCGGAGCAGGTTCTGCTGTGGGCCCAGGGGAAGTCCCTCTGCCCCTCAGTGTGCGTACTGGCCAGTATTTTACACTGAGGTTACAGACAGAGCTGTCTGTCACTCAACTATTTTGTAAGTAAAGCTTGCTACCCCATTTCCCGTAGAAGAAAGAGAGTCTAGTGACAGAAACAACGTCCTTTGTCATTAGCAGAATACATATTTTGTTTTGTAGACACGTCTGTTATGGTGGCTTCAGGACCCATGTGCAGTTGGGAAATTTTGTTTTAGTTTAAAATGTGAAAAGTAGAGCAAGACAGCTAACAATATCGTTGAGGTTCTGGAGGGACCATCTAATGCTGGTGTTGGCCCATGCAGGGGTGGGGGTGAGCTGGTACTACCACTTTGGAAAACTGTCTGACATTTCAGTTTCTATTAAAGTTGAACTTCTATATTTTCTATAACCCAGCAAAAAAACACACGGAAAAAAGTAGAAAGTAATATAACACATTGGTATTCTCATTCTCCAGAATGAGCAAGTATTGACAACTTATCTTTTCTTGTTTCAGATTCTTTAAAAGGAAATTATAGTTAGGGTTGAAATCTTTGTCTCCCATCCTGAAAGACCATTTGGTCTTGGATTTGGAATACATTTCAGAAGTCTGTGTTTTTATTCTCCTACTACAAATAAGTGTCAGCAAACAGATAGAGTACAATTTTTTTTTTTTAATTGTAAATAGGACATCATAGTGACCCAGTCATCTACCTCTTGGCTTTTTTCACTTAGCAGTGCAGTTTTGAGATGAATTCACATTAACTTTTTTATCTGCACCCCTACTGACGAACATTTGGGTTATTTCCTCGCACATTTGGTCCACGCGCTTATGTGTGCTGGATCATGCCAGATGTTGCCAGATTGTTCTCCAAAGCGGCTTTTGTCCTTTTGCCTTCCCACTAGCAGCATATGCATGCCAGTCATCCCATTTCTGTTCATCCCAGCCAAAAGGAACGCTGTCCCTATGCAACCCAGGACCCAGAGGTGGACTTCTAGGAACTGATTGCATTTGGAAGGGCTTATCAAGTCTGTACCTTGTCCTGGCCACTGCAGATGGCATGAATGAAAGGGTGCTTTAAGCTGGAAAGGGATTTCAATTTCCCATAGCCTTACCATCAGGTTTTTGGGGGTAGGGGTGGTGAAAAGGTTATGGGGTGATGCAAGAGGTGGAGGAAGGCACATTAACATTTTCTGAGCCTTTAATATAGGCTAAGTAGCTTATATGTACCATCTCATTTACTGCATACCCTCAGGGTTAAGTGTGTGAAGAAACAGGGTAAGTGACTTGGCCAAGTTGTTACCTATCCAGCCATCAGGGGCAGAGGCAGGATTCAGACCAGGGCGGCCAAGTTTCTCTGTTTAGAATTAAAATTTGCATTCATCGTCCTTTTACCTGTTGAGACTATTTCTTAGACATAAAGCTTTCTTTGAAACTGGCCAAATATTCTCAAATTGGTAAGATTAAAGTATATACCTTTGGGGAAAATGGGTGTGTGGAGCCAGTGAAAATGCTATTTAGTCGCTCAATGGCACCAGCTCTGAAGGAGATAGTGCCTGAGGGGTACATTTAAGGTCAAAAAGTAAACTTGCCTTCTCTGTGTTTACTATAGACATTCTTTAATCCAAGGTAAATAATTTGTAATTCTTTCCTTATGAGTCATTCCTACTTCCTTTAAAGTAAACAGTTTTCAAAACTAGAAAGATAAGGAAACAGAGCGACCCAAATGAGGCGATTTGGATTTAAATCTATACCTCATGCCTCTCTCTGTGTTTCAGGGTAGTTGGGCAAACATCTTCATGTGAAGTGTGCACCCACTCAGAAATGGCCTAACATGGAAAGGAAGTCTTGCTTTCAGCAGTTTTCTTATTGGTGCCACCCCAAAAGTAAGGCTGGAGGGGAAGTGGTGGGCGTGAATTTGTGTCCAGTTCCCATGAAGCTAGTGTCCAGCAGACAGAACAGTGCCATGGGCATTCAGAGACCTGGGTTCAAGTCCCTGCTTCTTGACTTCCCAGCAGTATGGCTTGGGTAAGTCAGATAACCTCTCCGCACCCATAAAGGACTGTGTTAAGGAGGACAGTCTGGGTAGGTCAGTAATTCAACATACAGTGATTGAGCATGCAGCGAGGACCAGGCAGGGTGCTGGGTGCTGGAGAAGCTGCATAAAACAGAGTCTGCAGTCACACAGTCACCAGTTAGCCAATCACAATTACAATAAATGTTACAAAGGAAGGTTATAGCGTGGCATGAGACCATGTCAGTGGCGGGGGACGTAACTTTTCTGAAGGGACTGTGGAGAGAGACAGCAAAGGGACGGGAAGAAGCTCCAGCCCCCTTGCATTTCCCTTTGAGGTCACTTGATTCTTTTGCATGACACCTTGGTAGGGTTGTTCATTATCCTTTGCAGTTCAGTAACTTCACCAGAATTCACTGTGGTGTGTGTTGTTATCTGTCCTTTCTTCCTGAAATTTAGTTTGATATTTAATTCTGCAGACACAGATTTTCATCTCCCTTTTTTGTTTTCAGGGCGCATTTCCTTCCCTATTTTGTTTTATCGTTGACTAAGCTTATCTATTTATTCTCCTTTGGGAACACTTACTTATTTGTCGGCTGTCCTTTGTCTTCCATGTCTGCTCTATTTTCTATAATCACTTGTCCCTCTTTTTTCTTTGCAAAAGGAAAAGAATTTTCTGGGATTTGCTCTGTATACCCTCCTCTCTTTGTCACTGTGTTTTTGCTTCTAGTATAGTTTTTACCTTCTCTGTATTGATTTCACTTTTCCTTTTGGTTTTTAGTTTTACCAGTTTACTTTCCACATCTTTTGTTGCCTTGTTGCTTTTCTTGGGCTTCTGTATCTCTTCTTTGGGTTCTAGATGTCAGTCTGTGCCATCCTTCATTTCATGGAGGGAATAGAAGCTGGATTCCAGACAGTAAAGGTGGGCTCTCCACTGGTGTCTCCTTTAGCTTCTTCTCCCCTCGCTTCTGCTGTGTGGGAATGACTCTGCTTTTCCCCCATCAGAACGTCACTCTGGACCTTTATAACTGTGACACGTTGTGGTTTTTCGAGCATCAGCATGCCTGAAGTCTGAAGAGGTTTGGCAGCTTTTGGCTTCTCTCTCCGTTCCAAATTTCATCACTTTGGTAGCTGTTTTCTGCCATTGACTAAGCTTTCTCCCCCCCTCCCCATTCTTTTGATTGCTTTCAGTAGATTTTAAGGGAAGAGAGTGTAGTGTAAACGCCTTATTACTATATTTGAACAGAATTCATGAATGTTACCAAAGCTCTCCTGTCCTCATTCTTGCTATTGTCGTGTTTGTGGATTTGCAGAGCGTCTTGTTACAAAGTGTCATGCATTTGCCCACTTGTCCGTGTATTCATCCAGCCAACAGACTGGTATTTGAGGGTCTGCCATGTGCTTGGATGGAGACCCAGAGAGGAACCATTCATGCTGGGGTAAACCAGTGCTCTCTAGAATTTTCTGGAGGCCAAGAAATAGCAGACATTCTTCTGCTGCTGCTCTTGAGGATTAGGAATGTCCCCTTTCTGTCCCCATAGTTTTCAATTTATTTAAATTTTTCTTTCTGTCACACAGGTAATGCATGAATATTTCTTATAAAAGCTTAGGATAGTGCATGTAAAGTGCAAGCTTGTCCCGAAACCTGCTGTTCCTTCCAGTCCTCCTCTTCTCTCCAGGAGAAGCCTCTGTGGTCGCTTTGACATCTGTGTTGGGTTTTTTGTTTTTGTTTTGTTTTTGTTTTTTTAGCTGCAAAAATGAAATAAACATAAGGTTTAAATAATAGACCTCTAACTCTCTGACCTAAAAAAGTCAAAAGGCAGGAGACTCTAATATTGTTTCAGCTGCTATCAAAGGCTGGTGCTTGAGATCCCCTTGGCCTCTCCCTCCTCATGGTCACCACTGGGTGCAGCTGGTCCTGATCCCAGAGCAAAAAGGAAGAAGTGGGGCAGGGGCCTTCTGATTATGCTGCTCTGTGTTTATTAGGGAGAACATTTTTTTCCGGAAGCTTCCCAGCAGGAGTCTCATTGGTCACGTGGCCACCCCTTGACTAGTCACTGGCCAAGGATTCCCATGGTTCATTGCCTGTGGCTGAGTCCATTTGCACCAAACAAAAATCAGGGATCTCTTAGCAAGGGAGAAAGGAGGGCACCGATTCCTGGGCAGGCAGTGTAGGGGGCCTGCTGTGGCGTGATTTCTGTGGTTTCTGCATTTGCACGTGCCTGTCCAGGTAGAGATAGAAATACCCGCTCCAGTCTCTGTGCACAGAGGTTATTGACTCTGCTCCACCAGTACTGGCTCCTCTGCAGGAGGCTCACCCCCATCAGAAGCAGTAGAAAGCCAGGATAGCAACAGGGGCACCACGTTGTCATTCCAGCCAATATGCAGAAGCCACCGAGACAGTGAGCTCTGCCATCTTCCAGTAGGAAACATGAATCCCCAAATCCTTAATCAAGCATGGTGTTAAACGTCTGGAGGTCCTTCTACCTTGCACGGCAGAACTGCCCCCTCCAGAGTTAGTTCTTGGGAGCCCTTGACTGGCTCAGTCGGTTGAGCATATGACTCTTGATTTCTGGGTCATGAGTTTGAGCCCCACGTTGGGCATGGAGCCTACTTGAAAAAGAAAAACAAAACAAAACCAGAAAACCAGACTTCGTTCTTGGTTCACTGCAAATTCTTACCACACGCTTGCCTTGACCTTGCCTCCAGGTGGAGTTAGCTGGACCTTCCTGTCATTCGCCTCTAATGACCATAGAATGCATCTGGGGTGGGGTTCCTACCTTAGTATCATTGATGGGAGGAGAGGCTTCGGAGAAGGTGGCTACAGCCCATGGGCTGGGCCCTGTGTCATTCCGGTCAATCTCTGCTGGAGGCCAGGGAATAGTGGGGACTCCACCCAGATCATTCATTTCCCAGCAGCCTCACTCTGGAAGCTGCAAGCTTTCTTGCTGTGTTGGCAGGTTTTCTCCAAGGGATGTTTCTCTGACATCGCGGATCAGTGGTGTGTGTTTTTGAACTTCATATGCCTGAAATCCCAGAACAGGTGTTTCTTTGCATCCAACCACATTGTTAGGTGTGTACAGGTTTACAGCTCTATCTTCCTGGTAAATTGGATATTTTGTCACTATAAAGTGAACCTTTTAACATTTATTTTGTATGAAATTTTCCATGTTTCTTCTGTTTGATATTTGTACAGTCTGGTTTTTTCCCATCCTTTAATTTCAACCTTTCTCTATCCTGCTGCTTATCTATGTCTTGTAAAGAGCATATTGTTTTTTAAAACAAGTTCATGGAGATATAATTCACACACCATGCTACTTCTCCATTTATCACTGCAGCAGATAGTTTTCTTAGTGAACTGGGTTTGACAGACTTTTCCTTTGTCTTTTTATTGAAGCATTTAGTCCTTTTATATTTAAGGTATACATGGATATATTTGAATTTAACCTTGTCATCTTCAGTTTTTCTATTTCTCCCCTTATTTTTTTTTCCTTCGGTCTTTCTTTGAATTGATGATTTTTTTCAGTTTGTTTTCTTTCCCTCTACTAGGTTGCAAATTATACCTTTCTTCCCCCTAAAATTACCCTAGTGATTATAGCATGTACATTCTCCTCTCTAAAATCTGGGGTGCTAGACCACCCAGGAAGAGCGTGAAGGAGCCTGGCACAGGTGCCGCAGGCACGTGAGGACAGGCCATTCCCAGCATCTCTGATGTCCGCGCAGTGGCTGGTTTGGCCTATTTCTTCCTTCCATTTCTTCAATACCCAGATAGGTTTTGTTTGCATTAACAAGGTAATTTTTATAATCAGAAGTATCTGGCAGTTTAAAATATGTTTTAAATTCAAACTTGTTCTTTTTTAAAAACTTTTTTTATTTTTTCAAGATTTTATTTGTTTGAGAGAGACAGAGATAGCGAGAGAGAGTGCATGAACAGGAGAGGGAGAAGCAGGCTCCCCGTGAGCAGCGAGCCCAATGCAGGGCTTGATCCCAGGACCCTGGGATCATGACCCAAGCTGTAAGCAGACGCTCAACTGACTGAGCCACCTGGGCACCCTGAATCCAAACTTTTAAATAGAAGGGTTTTTATGTTTTATGGTCACAAATTCTTTAGGCTTATTAATCAGTGTATTAAATATACACAGAGGTACATAGACCATAAATGTACAGCTCAATGAAATTTTATAAAGCAGCGCCCCCATACTGATTAAAAAGAAAAATGGCATTACTAGTACCCCAGAAGGTTCCCTTTGTGACAGAGAAGAGGTCACTGCTTCCCTGAAGTTCACCACCACCCTGACTCCCAGAGCTGATCAGCTCATGGAAGATACCTTAGTTTTGCCTACTCTGAAAACTGTAGTTTTAGTCAGGACATCCTGTAGCGTCCAGGACATCCTGGAGTGTTTGACGGTCTTCAGTTGTGTGTTGCGGTGCTTGGTTCACAGTCCGTGCTGACAGTAGCCCGCTGTGTAGCCTGGCTGTTCAGGGACTAACTTGTTTTGCTGATGCTGGACACTGGCTTATCACTCTTCAGAACACCACTGCCGTAGACAGCTGTGCACACACATGGATTCCCATGGCCCGTACGGCATCTAGACTGCTGTGTGGCACAGCTACCGTCCGGGGCCCGTGTTGGTTTCAGCCTTCGCCCTCGGAGACTAGCAGAGAGCGATAGTGGAGGCCCCATGGCACTTTCCCACTTCCTTGATGGGACTCACTTAACTGATCTTTGACACAGCGAACCAGGCAGTTGGTTCCCAGGAGATAAAAGCTAAGAAGTCATTTCCTATTTCTTCCTTCAGAAGCTCAGTAGAGTGGGAGACCCATGTGCCCTCCTGAGTGGGCCCACCCCTGGAGCCCTGTTCTCAGAGCCTGTTGGGCCTAATAGCTCTAGCTTTCGGCTCCGTAATGCCCCTGTTGGTGGACATCTTGCCATTCGGGGCTGACACTTCTTTGTCAGCTTTGAGAACAGCCCTCCCCTTGTCCATACTGCAGCGAAGCCTGCAGCTGATCACATAAGCAAGACTTCACTGAGGAGTCAGGAGGACAGAAGGGACAGCAGCGCAGAGCGTGCCAGTCATGGCTTATTGTACTGGGCCTGGTTCACTGCTCTTCCCCTCAGCCAGCCTCTGCCTCTGCTGCCAGTGGACTGTCTCGGGCTCCTCCCGCGGAGGTCTGTAAGGGACGGCTCTGCAGCCCTGCCACCATTCAGGATACCTACGTAGGACACCCTCACAGACAGTGGCGGGGAGGGTTCCGCTCCCTCAGGAAACTATAGTTACAGAGAACCCACACAACCAGCAAACTTAGCAGACCCGACGACAGACCTCGAGCCCACACAGTGACCTGGATGAGGCTTCTCCCGGGGCAGCTCGCCAGTTCTCGGCCCACGTAGTGATGACTAACATGGCATCCGTACCCTGTTAGAGTCGTCCTAGGTGCTGTGCGGAGCCAGCGAGGCGTAGCCCCCTTTCCTGGCTGCTCCCTGGAGGGACTGAGGAAGGCAGGTGGCCCGGGTGGTGTGGGCAGGATGCGGAGTTCTCCGTGCTTGGACAGCACTGCCTGAGGGACCTGAGGTTTCATCCAGCCCTGCTGGGTGTGGTCCTTTTGTGTCTCAGTGGCAGGTGGCCGTGGAGGAGGTATGGAATAAGACGTTTGAGTTTGACCGGAGGAAATTTGATACAGAGCGCGCTTACCACGTGTTCTTTTGTCTTTTGTAACAAAAAGGTTGCATTGTCACGTGGGGTGGACAGTGAAGATGATGAAGATATTTCTAAGCAGGATGGGTTTCCAGGCTTGCTTCTCACAACACAACGTACACAAGAAAAAGGTAAGAAAAAAAATTAATACAAAAGCATTTTGTGGCAATAAGTATCGGTTAATTTTTTGGACATACGGCCATCGTACCTCTCTGCCCCATGGTTCTGTGATTGTAAGTGGGAATATTCCTGAGTTCTGTTTTCATTGGAGACAAGTTAGTCGATGGCCACTTGCCTGGATGTTAGGCCGTCTTTAACATATCAGGTGCTTCCTTTGGAGTCCATTCTGTCCGTTCTGTCAGCTGTGAGAGGACACATGACGGGGAGGGTTAAGGCTCAGGCTTTACGTTCTACGCACTCCTTTCCTGCGGCTCCAGAACAGCTTTCTGTTTCCTAAGGGGGGCTCCCATGTACAGGTGAGAAGAAACCTGTCACACCGTGGGCACTGCCAGCTGCTTTGTCGGGACCCTCAGAGTTCCTCAACATCACGGGGACTGATTGGAAAACAATACCGGCCCCCTAATACCTGGACCAGAAAACAGTGGCTGGTTAGGTGGCAGGTTTTATCCCTGTGAGAAAATCTATATGAATATTAAATTCGTGTTAAAAAATGTATCTCTTTTTTAATTATAGAGGTAATACTTTCTCACTATTAAAAAAACCCTGAAATGTAGAAATACATAAATGCACATAATTGTACTGCCATAGATAATCTTGACAATTTAGAATGTATGCAGGCGTAACGTACACATCATTTTGTTACCTGCCTCTTCTCTTACACATACCCTGAATATCTCCCTGTGTTTATTCATGTCCATCCGTTTTCTAACGTCTGTCTGCCTTTGGCCTGGTATGTTATTGTGAGACAAAATCCAGTCCGGAGACAGAAAGCAAGCACATGGTGATCTGAACAGGGAAAGTTTAATGTAAAGAATCATCAGCTATCACAGGGTTGCCTGCAAAGGAGAAGACAGCGGTAGCAGAGAGAGGGAAGAGCTACTTTCGTACAGTTAATGCACATGTAGGGCGCCCAAGGGGAGAAACACATTTGGAGAGTCACTCAAGGCCCAGATGGAAACCTGGGGATGCTGTCGCTGTGGCCCACTGGCTAGTGAGAAAGTTAGCTGTGTCATGCTAACAGAACTCGCTAGAAAGCCGCCCTCTCCAGAGAAGTGCCAGAAGAAGCCACCCAGGGGGAAGTGCTGACCAGCCACTTTTAAGGGAAGGAGGGAGGGAGCAGAAAAGACAGAGAGAGGGATGGAGACAGCCCTGGAATGAGGCACCCAGGCCCCTTCCTCCTCTGTGTGTCTCTGGCCCCCTCTGCTGACGAAGCTCATCATTGCGCCCCTGGCAAGGTGCAGGGGGTGCAGGTCCACTGGTGGGCAGTGGGGGTGGAGTGCAGCTGAGAGGCACAGGATGGGGAAGGGCTCCTGCAGTGGTTTTTCTTTGTGGTGGGCATTAAAAGCCTCTGGACACCTGTGAAAAAGGCCCCACACCAGCCGCAAATTCTAATGCAGTGGCTGTAGGCTGGGGCCCAAGGTCTGTGTTCTTATCAAGCACTTCAGAAAGTGCAACGCAGGTGATCCTTGGACAGCACCACAGTCTGCAGCTTTTAGTGGTTTGGCTCTTGGCTCTGTCATTTCCAGGTAACGAGAGGCGTGGCTACCTTACCTAACCCCGCTTGTGCTCAGTCTGATTGCACCTCTCATGGATTCTTAACAGGGATTAAACTCTGTCACAGTGGGAAGTACAACACGGTCCAGAAATGTGGGCTGATAATTCTTGTCTAGAGGCCAGAGCTGGGAAGCTCTGCGAGCCACATGTGCCCTCCTAGCAGTAAGTGCCCAGGAAGACCAGACGCCCAAGTGCCTTCCTCTGATCCCACCCGTGCCCCTCCACATACTGTGCTTTGTCTTTCTTTTCCATAACCCAGTTTGTCAAAAGACAGCTCTCTATATACCTCCTCCCTTCCCTCATTTGACAGCATCTCTCCTCAACACACTGCACTTTGGTTGGCTCTGTCTCCGTGACTCCCCCAAGCCGCTGACCCGCGTCCTGACAGACACAGAGGGTGGTGTTCTGGCTTCATCGTATGTGGCTTCCCAGGAGCTGTCCACACAGAGGATTGCTCCTGGTGTCTTAAAATCCATCTCTCCCCTGCCTTCATGACATCTCATGTTCCTTGTCTCCTCTTGCCTCTTGGGGTAACCCTTCTTCATCTCCTTTGCGGGCTCATCTCCCTCTCCCTGCCCAGTCTATGTTGGGGTCTCCAAGGCCAGTCTAGGCCCTTTGCTCTTCTAAGCAGTCAGGCTGATCCCTGCTTCCAGTACCCTTTGTTGTGTGTTACGCAATATGGGTACATATGGAATGCCCACTGTCTCTTGCTGTGGTAGCAGCCAGAGCAGTCTTGTCAAAACACGAAGTAGCATCTAGTAGTGTCCCTGTTTGCTCCCCACCATGGGCCCCCATGCCCTTTTTACTTAGATCTCTTCACTGGTTTCCCATAGCCTAAGAGACCTGCGGGGCCTGCCTCTGCTGGGCATTCTGCAGCCACACCAGAGTTCTCTTACTTCTTCAACTGCATGATGTTCCCCTCTGCCACAGGGCCTTTGCACATGCTACTCTCTCTCCCTACCAGCTAATATCTATTACATATGAAGGAGGTGGAAGGAGGGGTTGTGTGTCCGATTTTTTTATGTTTTATATGTTCATATATTTATCAAAGGAAACACCCAGCTGATAACCATGGTTACTCTTGGGAGGAGAAAGGTTCAGAGGATTGTGATCATGGGGAAGTTTTGATTTATCTGTATTATTAGCATTTTTGACAGCAGGACTGTGCTCATATGGTGTGGCTTTTCTTTGAGGATGGGAATAGTGCCTAACATGGCATATGGTACACAGGAAGCCCCGGGTAGGAGACTTTTGCTGTAATTTGAATAGTTTATACCACTTGCCTGGCAGACTGTAAAAATGAAAAGGATAAGGAGTCGAAATGTTTTTGAGAAATGATCAGTGAGAAAACGGAGCCCAATGTACTGTGCGTGCGTTAAGTACCAAAGTGAACTTGGGTGATGCCCATTCTGGCTGTTTTTTTCTGAGAAGTTGGTGACTAAGATACAATAGAGATGATGATTTTTCTTTAGGAAAATAGTTGAATTGTCCTTTTTAAAATGTTTTATCATGACACCTTCCGAACATACAAAAGTAGAGAAAATGGTCAACGAAACTCCCACGTAGCTGCCACCCACCATCTACAGCTGGTAGCATTTTGCCATTCTTCTTCGTGACTCCTCTACCCTTCCCCAGTTTTGTCTGGTGAAGAATTTAAGGGGGCAGTCATTCAAGAGTTCATTAAATGTGAAGACAGTAGGTCTGATGCAGCATTGGAAGTTACCAAAGCAAGACTATTGCAACAGTTATTAAAAATGCAAAATCTTTTTGTAACAGTTTAAACATTTGTTCATCAGAGGCTCACCTACTATGTGCCAGAGATGACATAGCTACTGGCCCCTCCACTCACATTCCATTTGCAGGGGAGGACATGCAGATGGGGGACTGTAATCTGGGGTGCCAAGGTGGATGGCAGAAGCAGCACAAAGACCAGGAGAGCAGTCAACATTGCCAGCCAGAGAAGGCGGCAGGTAGAGGAGGCTTTGTTAGGCTGGATTTGGAATTACAAGGCGGAATTTCATTGGGTACGCCAGTCTAGACTGCCCCAGGACATTTGATCAGACATTTAGATACATACAGATAGTGGGGGCAAGATGACATTTTGGTCAAATATAATTTCTTCAGTGATTATCATTCAAGTGTTGGTAATTGTAATGAACCAGGAAGTAGATTTACAATCTTTTATGTATCTTTAGGCATTTTTGTCTGTTTCTGAATTCTCTTGGTTTTTGCATATTTGTTTCTAATTTATTCTCATCCAGTTGGTTCTGCTCTGTAAATTGACTAGAAACTAACAGCAACCAACATTTCACTATGACAGAGGGCACAAGGCACTCAAGGACATAAAATTACCCTCCTTAGGGAGTGCCTTCATCCCGAATGTGTATTTGTAAATGGAGGGTAACTGAGCGAGATTTATTTGCTTTTGTATCGCCAAGGTAGTTTGCTTCAAGGAACACTATCTGTCTGACCAAGTCAGATGCTACTTCCAGGCAGAGAGGAGTGGGACCTCAGCACATTTGGGGAATAGCGGGTCATACATTTGGGGCACATTTGGGCAATATAGGATAGGGTCATGTTGGAAAGGCAGGGAGGGCTCAGAGTTATTCCCAAGGATTTGGCCCTGGTTCTGTAATCATGGGAGCCAATGGAGGTGCTCCCAGATTAACAGAAGAGAGATGACCAATTCAGTCTGGCTCCTGCCTTGTCCGGACCAGCTTGCTGTGAAACCTTGCAAAGGCTGTCCCTACCCTGGGGCTTGTTCAGCTCATCGGTGGGAGGCCAGTTCCTATGATCGTGCTCTTCTGAGTTGTCAGATGTTTTTATCTGCTTTAAAAAAGTTTTCCTCTCTCTCTTTTTTTAATCAGATGATAAATATTCTGTTCTGAATTTAAAGGTAAGATTCATTTTTTAAAAACCAATTTTCTCAACAAATAGCATTTCTGCCATAATTTAAAAATTTTTGTGTGATTTGTTGGGTGGGGGGGACATCTATCCGTAGGAGTCCTCTCCCATTAAATGTTTTTTTAAAATACTTTTGAGGGGCAGCTGGGTGGCTCAGTTGATTAAGCATCCGACTCTTATTTTGGCTCAGGTCATGATCTCAGGGTTGTGAGATTGAGCCCTGCATTGGGCTCTGAGCTAAGCATGGAGTCAGCTTAAAATTCTCTTCCTCTCCCTCTGCTCTTACCGCCCCCCCACCCCAGTTGCTTGCGTGTCTGCATGCATGTCCACACTTTCTCTCTCTCTCACTCTAAAAAAAATAAAATACTTCTGAAACGTGAAGAAACTCAGATATTCTGTAGTTTAAAAATGACTATAAAAAAATAACTGTAATGCACTGGTTGGTTAGAAATCACATATATATATTTTGCAGAATGAATAGATTGTAACAAATTTGCAAATGTGGAAATAGTTTTTTTCCTCCTTTTTTGCAAACATGGAAATAGTTTTAAGTTTTAATGCTGCGATGCCATAGGAATTTCAAAATTAAAGATTTCTCAGCAGAGTTCATTCGTAGCCTTTTCTACTTTTTCAGCAAAAATTAGAAACTTAATATCAGATTGATGTGTAATGGCAAAATGAACAAGGTGTAATGGAAAAACGAACAAAAGTTCAAAGCCTAATTTTTGGGTTGAAAAGAAAGATCATATTCTTTTCTCAACACTTGGAAATGTGCTTCTCTATGGTGTAGGGTGTTTTTTTGTTTTGTTTTGGGTTTTTTTGCCTATCCCAAGGAAGAAAAGCCCAGTTTAGTCTGCCCCGTGCATCTCTGCTCGGCACCTGCAGTCCTGTCTTGTGCTTCCGAAACAGCCTGCCCCTGACATCCTGCCCCTCTTGAGACCTATGTGTGAAAACACAGTGGCTAAATTCATGGGCAAAAAGTCAGGAAGACAGGGCGCCTGGGTGGCTCAGTTGTTGAGCCTCTGCCTTCTGCTCGGGTCATGATCCCGGGGTCCTGGGATCGAGCCCTGCATCAGGCTCCCTGCTCAGTGGGAAGCCTGCTTCTTCCTCTCCCACTCCCCCTGCTTGTGTTCCCTCTCTCGCTGTGTCTCTCTCTGTCAAATAATAAATAAATAAAACCTTTTTTTTTTTTTTAAGATTTATTTATTTATTTACTTGACAGAGAGAGAGAGATCACAAGTAGGCAGAGAGGCAGGCAGAGAGGCAGGCAGAGAGAGAGGAAGGGAAGGTTTTATTTATTTATTATTTGACAGAGAGAGACACAGCGAGAGAGGGAACACAGGCAGGGGGAGTGGGAGAGGGAGAAGCAGGCTTCCCACTGAGCAGAGAGCCCCATGCGGGGCTCGATCCCAGGACCATGGGATCATGACCTGAGCCGAAGGCAGAGGCCTTAACCCACTGAGCCACCCAGGCACCCCTAAATAAATAAAACCTTAAAAAAAAAGAAGAAAGCTTGACCAGGACCTCTTTTAGTGCCTAAGAGAAGCCACCAGAAGGGCAAGTTTCAATTAAAAGAAACAATGGATATTAGAGTTCCTAAAGCTAAAGCAGACTAAGAGGTACAAGAGCCAAAGTGCGGAGAAAAAAGTGTAATTAAATGTTTGATATATGCTGACCCAGCTGCTCGTGCCAGTTTCCTTTTAGAAGATGCTAACACTTGAAAATCATTACTCTTGATTTTTCTTCCCCAGGATGAAAAAACATTATGTGAGAAGCCACCACCCTCCCCAGGTATTTGCCTTTTGAATTTTTTTTTTTTAAGATTTTATTTATTTATTTATTTGATAGACAGAGATCACAAGTAGGCAGAGAGGCAGACAGAGAGAGAGGAGGAAGCAGGCTCCCCGCAGAGCAGAGAGCCCGATGTGGGGCCGGATCCCAGGACCCTGAGACCACGACCTGAGCCGAAGGCAGAGGCTTAACCCACTGAGCCACCCAGGTGCCCCTGCCTTTTGAATTTAATTGTGATGAAAAGCTTATAATTTGGGAGAATGCCCAGAATCATCATGTCTAAAATAAAGGTCACTTTTTCCCCCTGTAAAGGCTCTTGCTTCTGTCCCGTTACTGAAATTGGGAAGAGGGGGCACCTGCGGGACTTCCACATTTGCTCTAAAAGAGAGGGTCTAGATGTTCAGACAATGAACGTGAACGGTCTTCCCATGGGATGTGCTCAGACACTGGGAGGCCAGTGTCTGCAAAAGGGGGCTACTCTGTGTTCCCAGCACCTGCCAGGGCCAGGGCCAGGGCCAGGGCCAGGGCCAGGCCCAGTCCCATGCCGGGGAGCCTGCCCACCTTTTCTAGCTCACCTCTTCTGGCATATTTTAAGCCGTAGCTTCCATCTTAAATCCTATCTCAAATGTTTTCTTTGTGGGACGCCTCCGAGTTCCGCTCTTGTTTTCAGTGGAGCTGTGGAGGTACTCATTTCTTCGACTACCGTTTCATGTTCTAGGGATTGGATATGATGTAGCAGGGGCCAGGGAGGCTATCTGGAGCCACCGGTCCTTCCGCTAGTCCTTGCCTGCCCCCTCCCCCCGGGTTTGGGCGAGTCCCCTGTCCGGAGCCACTAGCCCTCCTGCCCTGGGGTTGAGCCTCTGAGTCCTTCTCTTCATCTGTCCCTTCCTCTTTGCCCCCACTCTAGTGGTCCTCCAGACTGGCTTCCCTGCCTCTGGGCTGGGCCTCATTCCCGTTCACTTTCTTCACTGCTAGCTTCAGGGGCTCATCTGAGAGGAGAGACTCTTCCTTTTCATAGCTCTGCTTGAAAGCCTTTTCTGGTTCCTGGTGGCTTGCATGACAAAACCTCAGTGTTCCATATTATAGTATGGAAGGACCTCCCTGGGTTCCTGCCTCTCCCTCAGCCACCTCTTTCCCTGTGGCTTCCTGTAGCCTCAGCAGACCAGCTACCCTCTCCCATACTACCCTCTCCCTCTCCCTGTGGCCATTTTTCTCGCCGCAGGGACCGAAGGACCTAGCACAAGGCCTGACCTGAAGGTGACTTGTGTGGTAGTTTTTTAAATACAATCTCTCATAATTTTGAGGTAAAATTGTAAAAATCAATATTTAAAAACAACTTCTCTGTACCTTTCCAGATTTAACTGGTAGAACACGGCAAAGATGTATGGAAATAACCAAAGAAAAGTTCAAGGAATTGAAAGAAGAAAATGTGCTTCTAAGCGGTGCAAACCAAACCCTTACTCTTGAACTTAACCTAATAAAACAAGCAATGAAAGAACTACAGTTAAAACTGAAAAGAACAGAAAAAGAAAACCGAAAGTTGAAAGAGGCTGAGAAAACATCTCCTCAGGAAGGTGGGGACAACAGTTCTTTTATTAGAGGAACAAGGAAGAATTCACCAATTTTCGTATTTTGTTCCCAGCTATCATGACAGCTAGTATTTTAGGTTGTAATGTTTGCTTATGTTAATGTTGATACTATATTATAATACTTAAAGTTCTTTCATTAATATCCTTGTTCAAATTTGATTTTGTCTGCTACATCATTATTATGCTAAAGAAATTCCAATACTTCTTTTGGTTCTTTATGCTTAGCTTAGTATCTTACATACATTTCCTATCAGTTTTTTGTCTGCATGAACAGCATATAAGAGTGCCTCTTCGTGAGCTCAAGCCCTACATCGAGCTCTGCGCTCTGTGTGGAGTCTGCTTGAGATTCTCTCTCTCTCTGCCCCATCCCCCTCCTCCCCTACACACACACTCTCTCTAAAGTATATGAATATATCTTTTGAAAAGTGCCTCTTTCTCTACATACTTAGCAGTGATGAGGATTATATTTTTCTTACTAATTTGACAAACAAAAAGGTGAGGGAGGAAATCCTATTTTAATTTTATTTGTATTTTACTATTGATGAGCTTGAGTATTTTTTTCATATCTTTTCAGGTCATTTTCTTTCTCTTTCATAAATTTTCCCATTTTAAATTAAGATACTGGGATGCCTGAGTGGCTCTGTCTTTTAAGCATCTGCCTTCAGCTCAGGTCATGATCCCAGGGTCCTGGGATCGAGGTCTGAGTCAGGTTCCTTGCTCAGTGGAAGTCTGCTTCTCACTCTGCCTGCTGCCTTCCATGCTTGTGCTCTCTCTGACAAATAAATAAAATCTTTAAAAAAACAAAAGATGTTTTAAAAAAAAGAAAAGGAATCCTTTTGAACAAAATAAGTAAATTGAGACCCCTTGATTTTTTTTTTTTCTTACTGATTTGTAGGAGCTCTTTTACATGTTAGGAATTTTGGCCCTTTTTCATGTATGTAGTAGTTTCTCAGTTTGTTGATAATTTAGCTAAATATAGGATATTTTTCTTTTATGACTTATGCCCTTGGTTAAGTCCTTTTTAACTTTAAGGTTATATAAATGTTCACTAATGTTTTCTCTATACATTGATCTGTTTATATTAGTCTAGTATTACAGCCTTAAGAAAAGTGTCTTCATACAGACTCTGTGTATTTCTTGTCTTAGCCACATCTATTCCTGCAACTTTATATTATTTGTGCTATTGTTTTTTAGAATCTATTTTCTAATGTTTTCTAAATCTATTTTCTTATGTTTTCTAATAAGACATTACTATTCTATGGGAAGGCTCTTAGTTCTAATAAATTTTCCATTTATTTTATATGGCTTTCAAGGCACTACTGTATCATCTGAAACATTTTTCTTTGCAATCTAAAATTTTCATTTTACTTTAATTGTACATGTACAGACTTCCAAAACACTGTTGACTGTTCCATTCTAAAACTACTAAGTTACTAAACTTTTATTCATTAATGTCTATACATCTGTCCTCCACTGGCTCTGTGAGCCCAAAAGGGAGAAAAGATCAGGTGATTGGCAATTTATATAAAATCTTGATCAATTTGGTATAAGTTCTTCTAATATTAATTTTTTTTTTTCAGTAGTTGCTGCCCCTGAACTACTTTATCTAAGAAAACAAGCTCAAGAACTGGTGGATGAAAATGACGCGTTAAAAATGACTGTCCATCGTTTGAATGTAGAATTGAGTAGATATCAGACAAAATTCAGGCATTTGTCCAAGGAAGAGGTAATGTTCAGTTTTAAAATACCAGTTTTCTGATTTTTTAGGCTTTACTGTGGAATTGCTTTCTCTGTGTCCGCCTTTTGTCCCTTCCTTCCCTTCCTCCTTTCTCAAAACAAAAGCAATAAAGTCTATTTTTTTTTTTTTTAAGAAAGCCTGAGGATAGTACAGAACTATAAAAGTATATAAGTTAAGGAATAAAAGTCCATGTCAGTGGCTCCATTCTTAGTCCTGTTCCTCTTTTTTTTTTTTTTTCATACATTACAATTTTATTTTTGTGTACACATTTGTTTAACAGTCACTGCATTTCTGGACCAGGTTCAGGTAACTGAAGGGCCTTTATAATTAGTTTATATTGTCTAGATCCAAGGTATGCTTGCAAACTTAGGCTGGGGCAGAATGGGAAATAACATCTTTCTAGAGACAGGCTTAGAAACTCTAGTCCAGTAAGTTAAGACGTTTCCTACTCGGATAGCGGGGCTGACCCATGCCTGGCTACTAGGCCACCATTCACAGGTACAGCCAAGGTAACAGGGTACAGACCACCAAAAACAAGACCAACCAGTCCATCCCATGTTCTGATATAGGTTTCACAATTCAAATCACCTGTATTCAAAGGTAAACTACAAAATCTTTGTAAGATATGTGTGCAGTCAAAAATGGGCTCACTGCCATCGGTAGGCCCCAGCTCTACGAGCCTGTGTCACATTTAAGATGCATCAAAAAAGACTATTTGCCCTTAGACCACAGAGACCAGTATTAAGTCTGACATGTTGATTCATGTTCAAACAGATTCCTTTCTGCTTATGGGAGTTGGTTAATTTTTCTGGTTATGATATTGAAAATGAAGTCTTCTTGACAGTGTCATCTCGTTCATGATTTTCCATCTTGAGCCTTATGCTAACAGCATTTGGTGTCTCCACCCATCCTCTGTGGCCACACTGGGGCTTCTTCCTACTTTGGTCACCTCCCCAGAGTGCAGCCATCTTTGGCTGACCAGTCCTGCTCCTCGGGGTATAGCTGTTATTTGTTGGTGTACCAACTTCGGAAAGAAAGCAGACTAGTTTACATAACCGCCCCACCCCCAAAATCATCCAGCTCTCATAGCCCATGGAACTTGAGTTCCTGATTCCCACAGGACCAGCAAACAAAGAATCAGTTTTGAAACAGGCATGGGAGCACCCCTCTGCGACTCCACGCTGGGTTCAGCATGGGGGAAGCAGGCAAAAACAGCCACATCCTACTGTTTCCCTGGAAGGGGTTTGGCTGCATACTTTCCCAGCTGCTGCCTGAGGTCTGGTTTCCAATCAGCCTGCTTCTAGGTGCTGAAGACAGTCTTCCCTTTCAGGAAATTAATGAATCTCTGTACACCCTCAGCTACTGGGAGGCGCTGAGGAGAAAGACAGCGGCTTAGGCAATTCACAGATGTTTGAGAGGCAACCAAATACTCAGGCTGGGCTGGTTGATGAGTCTCGTCTCATAAGAGACCAGTCCGTCAAAACTGGGAGATGTAGGCTGTGAAGAACACCAAGAAGAGCAAGAAGGTCAGGTCCTTGCCCTTAGAGAGTAGTGCACGTGAGGGACGGGGTTGCGAGATAGCATAGGACATGTCAGGATACACAGCAGACTGGCCCCTGCTGGGATCACGGTGGAAAGCCAAGGGCACATCTGTTCTCACGTGGTTCCTCGGAATCCAGGGCAGTTTCACAAGCTTCTGATTTTGCAGTAGGACTTACGTTTAAATTTTTAAATAACAGCATTGAGATATAATTCACATATTCACGTCACCCACTTAACGTGCACAGTTCAGTGATTTTTACTGTCCTCACAGAATCCGGCAACCATCACCATGGTCACATGTAGAACAAGTTCATCATGACAGGAAGTTTCCTGCCTGCTAGGAGTCACTCCCCATTTCCCCCCACCACCTGCCCTGGCTCCCGTAAGCACTAAGCTACTTTCAGTCTCTGTGGATTTGCCTGTTCTGAACATTTCACGTCAACAAGATCATACAACATGTGGTCTTTTGTGACTGACTTCTTTCACATAGCATGATGTTTTTTTAACTACAGCAAAAAAAGTTAACATTCTAAGACACGCTTCCTAGGCCAGGGCCTTTTGCAGGGCTGCGGGCGAGCCAGTTCCCCTTAAAAGGGTACAGACAAGCGGGCCCAGTGACAAGCCACTGCTCTCCCACACTGTCCTGCCCTGTGCAAATGCCCCATTCTCTGTGACAGCCTTCCCTGATCACTCCCATTATAGAATCTCTCTTTCTCAAATCATCTCAGACTTTCGTTTGTACCACTCTTAAGGCAGCTAGAACTTTCTGCCCTATACTGTATTTTTGTGTGTAGTGTATTATGTTCATTTGTGTGAGAAGACTTCTGTTGTTAGATCACAAAATCCTGGAAAACTGTTGCATTGTGATGTCTATAATGAGTTAGAGAGTTCTCACTGTTTGCTGAATGAATGAGTGATGAGTGTTGAGTCACAATATTGTACACCTGAAACTAATATAATACTGTATGTTAACAACACTGGAATTAAAATGTAAAACCTAATGAAAAAAAAAGAATAAGGCCTGAACTTTCAGAGGAAGCATTGTTTAATTTGCCTTCACTATGTGTTTTTTTCTTAGACTTTAAATATTGATGGTCTCCCATCAAAGGGCCCAGCACCACCCTGGTTGGTAAGTAAAAGTTACTTAATTTCAGGCCTGTATTTTCTGGGCTCTAATTGAGTACCTATGAAAAACCATTCTAGATGAATTAAATTTTCTTAGCTTCTGAAAAATGTGCTGTTTGTTTTCAGACGTAAGACCCAAGTTAACCTTCTTTATTCCATTATGTTCAGTTGGATATAAAGTACCTGTCACCCTTGTTACTGGCCTATGAGGACCGAATGAAAGAGAAGGATGAGCTCAATGCCACCCTTCAGGTAGGCTGGCAGACGTCTCAGGACAAGGTTTATAAAATATAAGACTGTTTAAAACTTTAAAGAAACATTTTAAAGATAGGTATGCCCCAGTATCTACTATGTACTCAGATGTCGGAGGGAGGGAAGGAAGGATGGAAGGGACGAGGGAAGGGAGGAAGGAAGGAAAGGAGGAAAGAAAGAGCATAGTGGTACCAATGGGTGGGAGAAAAAGAAAGAAGGAAGGAGGCAGGGAGGGAGGGATCAGTGGAGCAGGAGGGGTGCATTGGGGTGGATGGGAGAGGTATGGAGGGATGGGTTGGTGCTGCATCGGAAGCCCAGATTTCCCAGGCAGGCAGGGGAATTAAGTTCAGACTTAAATGCTTCCTTATTCTCTGAAGAGCTGACCCCAGGGAAGTCCCGTTCTGTTGGTAATGGTGAGGGCACCAGGTTTTTGTTGATTCTGCCTGATCAGCTCTGTTTCATGGGAATGGCCTCTGGCAGCAGAGCTCATTCTCATTACACAGGGGGGCAGGGCTATGTGGGTATGCTAGATGTGTCCCATCCTCTCCCTCCTGCTCATGTAAGTGGCCAGAGATCTCTGGAATTGGAAGGATCCAGAGAGAACAGTTTGGATTCCCTGAGCTCTGGCTGGAAGGGTCTGTTAAGTCCCGCAGCCTGCCCTTGTTACACACTAACTCACACACATGGTCCACGTGATGTGCTTTTGAACCTTTTCTTCTAGATTGGACACTTAACTTTGTAAAAGAGTGAATTAATCTTACGCTAATTAATTAGCTATCAAGTCAAATAATTAACAAAATTAGTTCGGTGCCTCTTCTAAAACTGGGTTCAGGGAACGTTTTTTGTAAATGGCATTTAGTAAATATTTTAGGCTTTGCAGGCCACAGGACCTCTGTCTGCAACTCCTCAGCTCCGCAGTGGTAGCAGGAAGGCAGCTATAGACAAAGGGCAAATGAATGGGCGTGGCTATGTGCCCATAAAACTTTACTTACAAAACACACCCTGGCCCTTGGGCTTCAGTTTGCCCGAGCCCTGTTCTGTAGAAGGACAGTCAGCCATTGAGGAGTGTGTCTGGGCAGAAAGGTAAAGGAGAAACTCCTTGGCATTGTCGAGCTAAACCAGTATAAGCATAAAGGTCTGAGAGAGCTGGGAGAAGAATATTTAGAAGCATCCGAGAATAAACATTGGTAACCAAGGCTCTCCCTGAAGGCCGGCGCAAGACAGGGAAGCCCAGTGAGGGCTGGCTAAGAGAAGCGGGCGGGAGGATGCCCCACAGGAATGCCAGAACACAGTGTTCAGGAGGCGAAAGCAGACCCCATGGCAGTCCTCAGTCCTGCTGATGACGGCGGAGCTGTGATCACCACCAGGGCAAAATCAGGAGACTCCAAGCCCTACCCATGCTGACCCCTTCCATTCCATTAAAGTGGGCTTTAATTAGGAGGAGAAGTTCTTTTATCTAAAAAGCTCCAATTTATCCTCCAAAGTCTTTAAACAAAGGAAAGATTGCCATGTTCCTAGGCACCTCTGCTCTTTTTTTACCTGCCTTTATCTTTTCAAGTATTTGGCAATTCTAGAAAAATGTTATCAAATCGGGAATTGAGCATTTCAAACCCCCAAGGCTATCTGTCCCTTGCGCTCAGCATCAGGGTTGTCTCCTGGTTCCCCAGCAGCCCCTGGGAGCTCCTGAAGGGCTGGCACCTGGCACTGGTACCTGCTGTTCAGGGATACTTTGCTAGAAAGCTGCTGACCTCTGACCCGAGGTGCGGCAGTGGCACGAGAGCTGAAGATGGGGCTGAGTGTGTCTGTGTGTGTTACAGTTCACCTCCGCTGTGTTGCAGGAGGAAATGAGGATGTTTCGGGTGCGAGTCCAGGAAGTGGTGAAAGAAAATGAAGAATTGCACCGAGAGTTAACCAAGAGTAGTCCCGTGACCAGTGAGGAATGGCAAGTGGTGCTGGGTTTCTGGTGTTTTGGTAACTCAAAAGAAAACAGAATAATAGGAATAAACTTTATGACATTGTCAAATACATTTTCTTTTTTGAACTAAAATATTTTCAGGGAGAGTTTCTAAGAAATTAATAAGGAACAATGACAATATACTAGTAAACGATTCTAAGCTTGAATTTTAAGGATTACATTTAAAATTCTAAGTAGGTTTTTAAACCTGAAATCCATCTATACTCCCCCTTTTTATTTGCTGAGGTGGTATTTCTCTAGGGCAGCCTTCTCATTGAAGACCTCTTGAGCCATATCCTTTTTGTCCCCGGTGACTGTTCCCAGGGCTCTAGAATAGGAAGCTCAGGATGGGGCCCTGTATGACTAGCTCCCGTCTGCCCTGCCCTTTCAAGATTCTCCGACAGCTGAGTGTGGCCTCCCTCCGGCTCTCTGCTGATGCTCCTGCTTCACCCCAGAAGGCCCCTTCTGCACTCTTACTTACCTGTCAGGCCCTGCTCACAAGGCCCTGATCGAATGGTGCTGGTCAGTAGCTCTCCCTGAAGGCAGAGTTCATGGCTCCCTTGTCTCAGCTTCTGACACAGCCTGAGACCCACACGCCATCCTGGTACCTGCCATGCTGTGCCTGCCTGGGTGTCTCCGTGTCTGTCTGCCCTGTCCTCCTCTGTGAGCTCCTCCAGGGCAAGGCCAGGTCCCAGGTCCCGTTCATCAGCACAGCAGCAGTACTGGCTAGTCAATGCATAGGAAAAAGTAAATGTCTTAGAAAGTCTAAAGGCACTATCCAACCACAGACTCTTCAGATCAATCCTTTTCTCCTTGGATAGCTATATTTGTAACTCTTAACATGTCTTAACATCACTGAACAAAATTTAAATGTTTTCCATGTGTGATGTCCAGGAATTGAGAATAGGAGCCAACAACACTCCTGCCATTAGGTGGGTTCTCACTGATGTGACGGTTGGGATTGGCCTGGGCAGCTTAGTGCACTGTGTACTTAGTGCACTTAGACCTTAGTGCACTGTGCCTTCCCCTGTTGAACCTGGATTTTCTTCTGTCAGGGCTCCTAACACGCTTGCACTGGAACCCTGGAAAGCAGGTCAGTTAGACTGCTTCCAAGAGCTCTCCAGAAAACTGAGATCACAGATCCTTCCTCTAACCTTGTATATAAATGCCAGTCAAACCCATTTACTTCTCTATAAAATCAAAATAAAGAAAGACCTTTAAAAAAGCAGGTCACTTTCAAACTGACCTGCGCAGTGCTCCCCTAGCCTGTTTCTTTGGGTGTGCACTTGGCACCTGCTTTAGTGTGGTGGCCCGGGCAGTGTCTGGGGAGCCATTAGGTCTTGTGGTGCCTCTTGAGCCCCTCTAGCTGGCCTCCCCCTTCCTCTGTACTCCCTGCCCTCCAGCTGGTGGGGGGGGGGCATGGTTCATGGAGGCAGATCTCCAGCCACCCGAGAAGCTCCTATCCCTGTGCCCTCCCTCAGCCTCCCTGGCTGCTGTCCCCATCCCTGTGCACACAGGTGGGGTGCCTAGATACTCTGGCATACCAGCTTCCGACTTCCATCGAAGCTCTCCCCTCAGTTTCACATAATTTCTCCTTGAACTTCTGGGCTGCAACTAAACTCTGCATTTCTTTTCTGACTTCTCTGACCGGCTGGGATACCTCATGCTTTGCAGGCCTTAGTTTCTCCACCCATAAAATGGGAGGGAGTATTAAACTGAATATAAGGCTTTAACTTTTTTTTCTCTTTTTAAGAAATAGGAGAGTCCCTTTCATTTAAAAAAGAAAGAAAAGGTGGAGGGAATGATGGGAAGGGAAAAAAGGAAGGAGGGAAGGAGTTAAGGAAAGAAGAAAAGAAGAGGAAAGGAAGGAAGGAGGAAGCTAGGGAAGAAGGGAAGTCCTAAGAAAGTCCAAAGTGTAGGGGCACTTGGGTGGCTCAGTTGGTTAAGGGTCGGCCTTTAGCTCAGGTTATGATCTCAGAGTCATGGGATCCAGCCAGCACTTCAGGCTCCCTGCTCAGCAGGGGGCTGCTTCTCTCCTTTTCCCCCTCCCCCCTGCTGGTGTGTACTCGTGCTCTCTCTCTCTCTCTCTCTAATAAATAAATAAAATCTTAAAAAAAAAAAAAAAAAAGAAAGTTCAAAATGTAAACAGGAGGAAGTGGAGCTAGTCCTCCTGAGGTGAGAATAAGGAGGCCAGGCCAGGGGAGCCCTGGTGGGCTCCTGTTCCTGGGCTCCCATTCTGCACAGCAGGGTAGCTAGCTCCCTCCCTATCCTGTGTGCTGTGTGGGCAGCCCCTGTTAGAGGGAAGTCATTGCTACAGCTCGACTCCTTTTCTCTTTTTTCTCTCCTTCCTCCACCTTTTTGAGTTCACAGTGAAAAGTTGTGATAATTTACTGGTTTACCATTTGCTTTGAATGGTTAGCATTTAACCAGATTTCTAAAGGACCCTTTAGCTCATTCTAATTGGAATTTTTGGTCACCAAGGTCGAGCTGAGCCAGGATTGACTTCGCACCCTTTGTAAGGAAAGGGCAGTTATAGTATAGTATGGTTTAAGAAATCAGCCAGAGGCTTTTCACAGTCATTATTTGGGGGCAGATATGCTATTGATTATAAGGGAGTACTTCTCAGTCAAAATGGGAACTTTCTGAATTCTTTCCAAATTTTTCTAATTCCCTCCTGGCTTCAGAATAATCCAGTGGGTGTCAGAATTGGAGGTTAATACATGAAACAAGATTGGCCATTTGGTAACTGTTCAAGCTGGGTGTGGTGTTGTGTACTTGAGAGTCTGTTCTTCAATTCTTTTCTGCTTTTGTGTATGTTTGAAATGTTGCATTTTAGAAAGTTATTGAAGCAGTTCATAATGCAAAGTTTATCACTCCTCCCCCATCCCATTCAATGTGACTGGTAGGATGAGCTGTGTGAATGACATGTTTAGCATTAAAACTCGTCCAGATGTTCATGACCGGCAACACATCAGTGGCTCTCTTTTAGACTCCAGAGTGTCTCTGTAATCATTCAGTACCTGAGGGGCAGAATTTAACTTTGTAAATCAATTGTAGGCGTCAGCTTCAGACTCAGGCGGAACTGGTTTTAGAGGAGAACAAGTTGTTGATAGAGCAGCTGGAGATTCAGCAGAGAAAAGTCAAGGACACCCACCAGGAGCGTCTCCAGGAAGGTGAGCTATCTTTCCAGCATCACTGGACACCGGCGCCTCCGCCCCCCACCCTGCTCCTGGTAGGACCCCCTTCAAATTACAAGTGGTGGAAATCACATTTCTAGAACGTGTTCCTCTTCACTGAAAGGCAGCTCTTTATGTTACAATATACCCAGTGTTACTCATAATGCATTGATCGCTTTCTCTTAGATTCTACCGCGTCTTTCCAGTTTTTCTGTATATCTTAGAAAGCGGATGTAGATGACCCCTTTAGAGTTAGCAGAACTGGCTTTGTGGGGATTAGTGCCATGTAAGTGGAAAAGATCATGTGAGGTGACCCTTTGAAACAGCGCCAACAAGGGTACCTGAATATTTGTTATGGGAGTGAATGAGTAGAATGAATTCTCTCTCCGAACAGTTTCTTTGTGCTCCTGCCCTTCCTGGTTCAGAGCTGTGGGTGCTGTGACAGGCTGAGTCTCCCTCCCGTGCCTTTCGTGTGTACCTCCCTGCCCCTGGGAGCCTCAGAGCTCGTGGCCATGGGCTTTGAAGTGGGCCAGATTGAGTCATTGCTTCCACTTTGGTTGAAGCCCAGAGCACAAAAGGTGGTGGCGTTTTCTTGTGCTTTACTGACTTTCCTGGTGAAGAGTAACACCGCGCAGGAGGGCAGAATGTAAGTGTCTTGACTGAGCCAGTGTAACCCCTCCTTTCTCTCTTCCCCTCTGCTCCTGATTATGTAACGATGCCCTTAACGCCCTGGGCACTAAAGCCCCCCACTGCTGCTGAAGTTACTCCATCTGTTTCCACAAGCCAGCTCCTGTGTAAAAGTGAGAGTGTCTGGGGGCACCTGGGGGGCTCAGGCGGTTGAGCATCCATCCGACTCTTGGTACCAGCTCAGGTCATGATCTCCCACTTGTGGGATCGAGCTCTGGCCATAGCCTGCTTCAGATTCTCTCCCTTCCCTCCCTCCCAATTTTCTCTCTCTCTCTCAAATAAATAAAATCTTTAAAAAGTTTAATATAAAAATATAAAACCTCAGAGCATCCAACAGGAGCTTAGTCACAGGACTTCCCCTTAGACTCTACGTGGCACAGACGTATTTGCCTTTACTCTGGCATTATTTGGAGTGGAAGAGAGAGAAAGTTGTCCTCCTGTCTTTGTTTTCAAGACCAGAGGTGGCAGAGAAAATTAATTTTGTATTTCCCAAGCTTAATTTCTTCGAATGTCACAGATGTGAGCAGGTATGTTGCTGGTTCTGGTTGTGTAGATTGGGCCAACCTTTAGGCCTCTGTAATTTGATCCAGTCAGCTGCTTGTCCTATTTTCCTGTCTCCCAGAAGGAGCTATTCATTTTGACCAACTAAATCTTTTCATAGAGTAGAAGGATTTTTTAGAATTTAATTTTATTTTTTCAGTGTTCCAAGATTCATTGTTTAGGCACCACACCCAGTGCTCCATGCAATACATGCCCTCCTTAATACCCACCACCAGGCTCACCCATTCCCTTACTCCCCTCCCCTCCAAAACCCTCAGTTTGTTTCTCAGAATCCACAGTCTCTCATGGTTTGTATCCCTCTCTGATTTACCCCAATTCACTTTTCCTTTTCTTCTCCTAATGTCCTCCATGTTATTTCTTATGCTCCACAAGTAAGTGAAACCATATTATAATTGACTTTCTCTGTTTGACTTATTTCACTCAGCATAATCCCCTCCAGTCCTGTCCATATTGATACAAGAGTTGGGTATTCATCCTTTCTGATGGAGGCATAATATTCCATTGTATATATGGACCATATCTTCTTTATCCATTCGTCTGTTGAAGGGCCTCTTGGCTCTTTCCACAGTTTGGTGACTGTGGCCGCTGCTGCTATGAACATTGGGGTTCAGATGGCCCTTCTTTTCACTACATCTGTATCTTTGGGGTAAATACCCAGGAGTGCAATTGCAGGGTCATAGGGTAGCTCTATTTTTAATTTCTTGAGGAATCTCCACACTGTTTTCCAAAGTGGCTGCACCAACTTGCATTCCCACCAACGGTGAAAGAGGGTTCCCCTTTCTCCACATCCTCTCCGACACATGTTGTTTCCTGTCCTGATAATTTTGGCTATTCTAACTGGTGTAAGTTGGTATCTCAGTGTGGTTTTGATTTGAATTTCCCGGATGGTTAATGATGATGAACATTTTTTCATGCGTCTGTTAGCCATTTGTGTGTCTTCTATGGAGAAGTGTCTGTTCATGTCTTCTGCCCATTTTTTGATATGATTATCTGTTTTTTGGGTGTTGAATTTGAGGAGTTCTTTATAAAGCTTGGATATCAGCTGCTTGTCTGTTGTTAAAGCATAAAACTTTAAATCCTTCTACTTTGTAGAAGTACTTACTTCTAAGTGCTGCTTTCAACAGATGTCTGGGAAGTGTCTTATCATTACATATACGGTGTTGCCCAGGACAAAAATATTTATGATTTACTTTAAAATAAAAGAGAAGAAAAGTCATAAATTCAGTCTGTAGTTGGGTCCTATTTGATGTCCTTAAAGACTTGAATATCTTGCAGTTTTAGGAACAACATCATGACGATGAACGTCCATGTGTGACTTAAGGCTTTGGTCTTCAGAAAATCCGTTCCTTGAAGGCTAAAATCCTGTCTTGTTTAATTAGCATCATGTATTAGCAATGATATCAACATACTGAGCCCCAGTACTAAAGTCGATATTTAGTGAATGTTTAATATGGGGAGAGTAATTTCTAAGTATAAGGTTTTGGGTATTAATTTATAAATCTCCAAAAGGTTTTTTTAAGAGTATTATTTATAAGCTGGCTCTTCTTGGTATTACCTAGTAATCAATAATCACATTTTCTTAAGTCTTCTGTACCATCTCATTTGTTTCTCAGTTTCTAAACTGACTAAACAGCTAATGCTTCTGGAGACTAAAACACAGAACCAAGAAAAAGAACTAACCGAAAACAAGGAGCAGTTGGAAATTTTAAGGACCGAATGCCAGGACTTAAAAACACAGTTGGATGGCAAAATTGCTATCAACGTTCATGCTTCAATTGTAAATGAATTAAAAAGGTAAGGCTACAATGTCTGGTGAAGTTTGAGTGCATCATCGTGCATGTGGTTTTAGGTGGAGTATAGAGAGGTTGCCCATCTTCTGAGTCATGTAGCTGTACCAGCACAGGTGTCCAGGACTGAGAATCGTGAACCTGTTATTACTGAAGGCACTATGCCTGTCCTTGAGGACTATGGTCTGCACTTTGTGTATGATTTCTTCTCCTCCTACTCTTCCAGCCTTTATTGGCTGTACACCCAAAGGTAATTTTAAAGTGGTAGAACTGGAAACCTGGATATCCAGTAACAGGGAATGGATTAAATGAAAGGGTACACCCATAAAATGAATTGCAGTGCAGCCATTAAACAGGATGTCACAAAAGAATCTTTTGGGAAGTTTGGGAAATTATTTTTAAGTGAAGAAATTAGATTACAAAACAGTATGTATAGAGTGATCACAGTTTTGGGTGCCTGGGTGTCTCAGTGGGTTAAGCCTCTGCCTTCAGCTCAGAGGGTCATGGTCCCGGGGTCCTGGGATCGGGTCCCGCATCTGGCTCTCTGCTCAGCAGGGAGCCTGCTTCCTCCTCTCTCTCTGCCTGCCTCTCTGCCTACTTGTGATCTCTCTTTGTCAAATGAATAAATAAAATCTTTAAAAAAATTAAAAAAAAAAAGAATGATCACAATTTTGTTTAAAAAGAAGATTGTATGTATATATATGTATTAAGGTAACCAACCATCCCAGTTTGCGTGGGACTGAGGTTTTCACAGGATGTGGGAATCCCAGTGCTAAAACCGGGAAAATCCACAGCACACTGGGGATGAGGTGATTATTCGTGTATGTGTGTGTGTGAGTGTGTAATTACATGTGTGTATAATTACATATATGTATAAATACATATACACACTTATATGTGCATGATCACACATATACCATAAGTATGTAGAAAAAAGACTGGAAGAAGGAGAAAATGCTAACAAGAATTCTCTTTGGCAGGTGAAATTCTGTGTCTATCAGTAGTCAGCATTCTCTAGAAAAACAACTGACATATGTAGGGTACATATATAGATATTTCTAGAGAGAGAGAGTTTAAGGAATTGGCTCACACAGTTATAGGGGCTGGCAAATCCAAAGTCCATAGGACAGCCAGCTGGCTGGAAGCTCAGGCAGGATTACTATGTTAGTCTTGAGGCAGAATTCCTTCTTTGGGCAACCTCAATTTTGGCCCAGGGAGCCTTCACCTGACTAGATGGGGCCCACCCACACTATCAAGGGTAATGTTTTACTTAAAGTCAGTTGCTTATAGATGTTAATTACATCTACAAAATACCTTCACAGCAGCATCTATCTAATATTTTTCCAGACAAACTGGGCACCATAGCCTAGCCAAGCTGACATGTAAAATTAACCATCAAAATGAGTATTTTAAATTTTCTTTGTGTTTATTTTAAATATTTTACATGTGTTCTATTATAAATATGCATTGCTTTTGTAATGGGGAGGAAATAATTTTTTTAATGGTGAAACTTTCAGCTAAGATGGTTGACGTCGGGGAGTAAGAGTGCATGTGAAGTGCTTAGTTTCGTACTTTAGTAAATGCTGGGGAGTCCAACTACTGGACCCCAGTGTTTTTTTTGTTTTGTTTTTTGTTTTATTTTTTAAAGATTTTTTTTTTTTTTATTTGACAGAGAGAAATCACAAGTAAGCAGAGAGGCAGGCAGAGAGAGAGGAGGAAGCAGGCTCCCTGCTGAGCAGAAAGCCCGATGTGGGGCTTGAACCCAGGACCTGGGATCATGACCTGAGCCGAAGGCAGTGGCTTAACCCACTGAGCCACCCAGGCGCCCCTGGACCCCAGTGTTTTGACTGTACTATTACGTGCCGTCTGGGCCAGACCCATCCTTTACTTTTCTATTCCAGGAGAGGAAGGAAATTTTTTTTAAAGTTCTGTTCATCTTTATGATTTTATTTCCCTCAAACACCCACTCCTATAGCTCATGTTTTTTTGTGGCTATCAAAATCACATTTTCTTTTTTTTTTTTATCTTTTTAAGATTTTATATATTTAGAGAGAGAGAGCGAGTGAGTAAGCGGGAGAGAGCGGCAGCGGGGGAGGGAGAGGAAGAGGGAAAGAATCGCAGGAATCAACACGGGGCTCCAGCTCATGAACCGAGATGGTGACCTGAGCCGAAACCCAAGAGTCAGACGCTCACCTAACTGAGCCATCCAGGTGCCCCCATAACCATGTATTTTAATGGCCCCCTAAATGTGAGTATCGAAGGTATAAAAACCTTCAAAAGGAAGCCACTAATGGGAAGGCAGTGGAAGACATGGTTGTTGAAAAGACAAACATGTCACCAAATCTCTTGTAAGTAGAAATTAGTTGAGGAGTGTTGTGGTAGAGAATGAACTAGAGTAGGGACAGCAAGCCTTCATGCCAGCCTTTGCCGGGAGGCTTTGGGCTCAGAGTTGATGGGTGGGGTGGAGGATAGAGGAGTCAGAGTGGACATGGAGAGTGGTGACCCTAATGGTTCTCTAGTGGAAGGCGCAGTGATTGGTCAGAGCATTGGTAATGTGGAAGAGGGATAGGAGTCCATCAGGGATGGGATGTGTGAATTCAGGCAAGTCTATAGAGGCTGCACCAAGACCCGCTAGAAAAACAGACAAAGTAAGGAGACTGTTACAGACATCATGTCAGCCAAGGGCACCTTGGAGTTGGGCCGAAGGGAGCTGAGGGGCTGCAAGGCTTTAGTGCACCTGCCGTCTCGTTGCCTCCGTTAGGGGCGCTCCCTTCCCACACTGATACACTGATAGTAAGAGATGCACCGTGTGTCCGAGAGTAGTCATTCATTAGCCGCAAAGCAGCTGTGGAACTGGCTCCTACAGTTGGGATGAGTCTTTGGAGGACTTGGGGAAGAGTGGTGTCGCAGGCAAAGATAAACATTTTTGTTTATATAGAAAAGAGCTAAATTGAACCTGTGTTCCATGAGCTTCTAGGTTTGCTGCATGTGTGTTGTTTCTCTTTTCCTGGTGCGGGGCAGTGTAGATCCTAAATATGGACTGGCTTTTCCACTGTCAGGCACACTTGCCTGGGAGGAACTGTGGCCCCAGAAATGGCAGGAGGTTATCTTCCTAGTGCACTGTCTGGTTGACTTACGGTTGTGCTGGTTTTGACACCTGGAAGCTTCGGTTGTTCTTGGCTTTTCCTGCTGCTTACAAAGGTTGAGCCTGCCCAGGATGGGTGGTGGGAGAAAAACAAGGAGTCACCCGACTTCTAAAGAAAGTTAGCACACTTGTTTAGGGAGAGCTAAGGGTTTGGGGTGACTAGTGGTATCTATACAAGGAAAGCCTTCCTTATTCTGGCTTTGGGGCAGGGGAGGGGCTGTTCTAACATGCAGTCGACTATCCACATAACTTCTCTGTGTAGACAGAGCCCTGCTCAGCAGTCAGTGATATGTCTGCTCAGGGAGATGCCAGGGCAGAAAAGCATTCTTTTTACATAATACACACCAAATGCCAAGTCCTTCATCCTAAAATAAGAACAGACTCCTAGGTGTGAACAAACGACAAGGATCATTGGGTATAATGGGGAAAAATGCAGTAAAATAGGGAGACCTACATAAGCACAGAAACTCACTTCAAATAAAACAGATACTGTGGAGAACTGAGAATATAGAGAATAAAATACCATAAAAAAGTACAGTCAAGAGCAAGATTAGAAGTGATGACCAAAAGCTAGAGAAGATTCAGCAGAAGGGCTAAAAGACAAATGGGTCAATTCTGCTAGAGCATAAGGAGACAGACATTTGGGAATGAAGAGAAGGTAATGGATGGGAGACCTGTCCAGGAAGTCCAGCCTCAGACTGTTAGATTGTCTCAGAAAGAAAGCTTAGAGAAAATGGGAAGGAAGACATTGGTTGGAGGGCAATGGTTGGAGGGCATTTCCAGGTCTCTGAAGACCTTGACTGCTAGGACCTGCAGACTGCCTGGTGTTGTGAATGAAAAAGACCCACACCCAGATACACCCACATGAAGTATCAGTGGACCACCAGCGATGAGACAAGCCCATCACCTGCAAATAAGTCGTGAGCTGAGCCTCCAGAGTGCTTTATCCTCAGCGTAGGGTGAACTTGAAACCAACCAGCCCTCAATCCTCTCTGGAGGAGGGCTCTTTACTCCTAAATGTTTTTCAAGGATAGTGTCCAGGACACAAAGAAAAGCAGACAGACAGTGCCTGGGAACCAGCAGAAGTAGCAAATAGTACTAGAGAGCCCAGATATGAGAGTTATCAGATAAGGCCTATAAAACCACCGGTGGCTCTTAGGCTTTAAGAGATAAAAGGCTCCAACATGTCTTCAGGGAACTAATACAGCAGCCTGAAAAAATACAGCAGCCTGAATTCAGAGTTCCCTGGATGGGCTTAACTAAACATTGGACGTAGCAGGGTGGCGAGCTGGCGAACTGAAAAATAGGTCGGAAGCAAGGGTCCATAGGATGGCGTGGAACGTTCCACAGTTGCAGGATCAGTAGCTCACAGAAGTTACGGAGGGATGTATTTCATCAGGAGTAGTTACGGCGGCGGGGAGCCTTCCCCAAGTGAAGACAGTCAGTGGTACGTGAGTTGGGCTAGCCCCGTGAGCACCCCGTGAGCTAAAATTTCCTTCTGGACAAAATGCCTTTCAGGAATGAGGTCAAAATCGGCATATTTTCAAGCCCAAACTGAGTGTCACCACCAGCAGACCTACGTTAAAGGCAGTTCTCATCAGGAAGAGGAATGTAATTTAGTGTTGGATGCACAGGAGGCGAGGAAAACTAGAGTAAAAAAGACACAGTAAATATAAATGTAAGTGAACATTGATTCCATGAAACAATAATAACATCTTTGGCAATTTAAAAATGCGTGGAATTCGGGGGCGCCTGGGTGGCTCAGTGGGTTAAAGCCTCTGCCTTTGGCTCAGGCCATGATCCCAGGGTCCTGGAATCGAATCCCACATCGAGCTCTCTGCTCGGCAGGGAGCCTGCTTCCTCCTCTCTCTCTCTGCCTGCTTCTCTGCCTCCTTGTGTGATCTCTGTCAAATAAATAAATAAATCTAAAAAAAAAAGTATGGAATTCAAATGCACAATAATAATAGCATAGAATCAGGAAAGGGGTCAATGGAATTGTCTTCTAAAGTCTAAATCATTCTGGAGAGGAGAAAGGTGTTGATTTACTTTATGGTTTGAAAATACACATGATGAAATTTGTGGGAAGAAAATGTAACTTTTAAACTAGTATAGTGAAAGAATGATTTTTTTTTAAAATACGAATGAGGGCAAGAAAAGATAGGACAAGTGGTAAAATCGAAAATGCAAAATGGAAAGATTTAAAAGCAAATATATCGGGAGTAAGTAACACTAAAGAGGCTAGCCGTTAAACTAGAGTACGTGAAGCAGAGCCCTGGGGTGTTGGTGAACCCCAGTAAGGCCACGCGGGAAAGTGAGATAGAGAAGTTGGTAACCCACAGGCACCTGGAGGGGCCACATGGCGATGTCAGGGCAGGGTGTCCGGGGCACATGAGGGTCAAGGGAGCTGGGTTTTAGCAAGCTTCAGAGACTCTTACTCCTGGGGCACCTTGGAGGTGGGGAAGAATGCTCATCGCATGGAGGAGTCCTACCAGGAATTTACGTTTACCCGTGACCTTCTGGGTTGTGACTGCACTGCTGTGTGCCGGGGAGGCTCGCGTCAGCTCAAGGCCTCATGCAGGCTGCACCCGGTGGGTTCCGAGGCAGAGTACAGTGGAATGTGTAGCTCAGCTCTCCATGGCAAGTCTGTGTTGCCTTTCAGCTGTGCATCTCCGTCAGAAAGACACAGGCAGGTCCAAGGTGAAAGGGCAGAATGAGCCATACCACTCAAGTACAAACCAAAAGAGCGGTGGTAACGTTCCGTCAGTATCTGGCAAGACAAATGACAAGAAAAGGCTCAATCTACCAACTGGATGTTTATTTTTTTTAATTTTTTTTTTTTTTAATTTTATTTATTTCTTTGACACAGAGACAGATCACAAGTAGGCAGAGAGGCAGGCAGAGAGAGAGGGAGAAGCAGGCTCCCCGCTGAGCAGAGAGCCTGATGTGGGGCTCGATACCAGGACCCCGAGATCATGACCTGAGCTGAAGGCAGAGGCCTAAACCACTGAGCCACCCAGGCGCCCCCAACTGGATGTTTAAATGTGTGTGCACCGGAAATAAGTTCCTAGCGATACATTTGAAAATTCAGGCGAAATAGTGGCATTCCTGGAAAAACATAACTTCCCAAAACTGATTCAAAAAGAATACCTGAATATTCCTTTTTTTTTAAGATTTATTTATTTATTTGAAAGAGATAAATTTTATTTATTTGAGAAAGAGAGCATGAGAGGGAAGAGGGTCAGAGGGAGAAGCAGACTACCCAGTGAGCCGGGAGCCCGATGTGGATCTCGATGCTGGGACTCCAGGATCATGACCTGAGCTGAAGGCAGTTGCTTAACCAACTGAGCCACCCAGATATCCCTGAATATTCCTTTAATCATCAAAGAAATAGAATCCAAAGACCATTCCTTAAGAAAACTATAAGCCTAGAGACCTTCACCAGAGTGTTCTAAAAATACTCAAGGAGGAAGTCATTCCAGTCTTATAGAAACTCTTCTGAAGAACAGGAGTTAATGCCACCTAACCCATTTTATGAGATTGATGTCACCTTGATATCAAAACCCAACAAATAGAAGAAAGGGAAATTACTTTTTATTTTCACCCATGAATCTAGATGTAAAAACTTTTTTTTGAAGATTCTTATTTATTTGAGAAAACAGAGCACAAGCCAGGGAGAGAGGCAAAGGGAGAAGCAGACTCCCTGCTGAGTAGGGAACTCACCAGGGGGCTCGATCCGAAGACCCCAGGATCACGACCTGAGCAGAAGGCAGATGCTTAACTGACCAAGCCACCCCAGGGCCCCTAGATGTAAAAACTCTTATTAAAGTATTTACCCCAAAAAGTTTTTTTTCTTCACCTGTACGGTAATTATATGAGGGTTTGTTATCATTATGTATTAAAATATGCATTTGTCTTTCATATACTTTTCTATATGTGTATTTATCTTTTATATACTTCTCTATATGTGTATTTCACAATTAAAACATTTTAAATCCTTTTTACCAGAAGAATTAAAATCAAAAGTGATCAGTAGAGGTTTCTTCTGGGGAACCTGAGGGGAAAATATTTTATATAAAAAAATTTTTTTAAGTAACTGTTTTAGGGCTTCAGACTGGCTCAGTCAGTGAAGCATGTGACTCTGGATCTCAGGGTTGTGGGTTTGAGCCCCATGTTGGGTGTAGAGATGAGTTAAAAATAAATATCTTTAATAAAAATAAGCAAGCAACTATTTCTCCTACCAGCTATGAACTGTCAGCTTTTTTTTTTTTAACAAATTGCTTTTACCTCTTTGTTTTGCTTAAGAAATATATTGTTAGAAATACACCTGAAGTCCTTTGTAGCCACTCTCCTTAGTCCAGTATTTATCCCTGGCTTTCGAAAAGGAATCACTACCATAAACTTGGAATTACACTTCCAGTCTGTTTTTTATTCTTACATATGTTTCCATAAATGACCCATGGCATTTTTTTGGTGTGTCTTAAGTTTATATGAATGAATTCAAGCTTTTAGTATATTGACCTTTACACTCAATTTTCCAAACATCTCTCTATGTTGAAATAGCTATTAGAGCTGATTCTTTTACCTTCTGCCTGGTGGTATTCCATCATATGAAATACTACATTTCACTTATTTTAGTGGAAGTTTTAATTGTTAATAAGTTTGCTCCATTCGGTAGTGCCACAGTGAGATTTCAAGTACGTGTCGTCATAGTTTCACTACGTATGTATTTAGAGGTGGCACTGTTGGGTCACGGGGGAAGTGCGTTTTCTAGAACTTGGTGTATTGCTCTCTGAGGTGACTGGCCCACCAGTACTTTCCCAACATTCTCTATAGCCCCTAGTTGTTTTTCATTGGGAATTTTTCTTTAGGGATTGATTTGAGTACATTACTTTGGCTTTAAACAAAATTCCAAAACCAAAACAGAAGACAGTGAAGAAAAAAGATAAAAACCTCAGTTTCATGGTTTTTATCTAGGTGTGTCCTCGACTCTTTGACTAATTAAAACTAGTAAACTAGAAAGTAATAGAAAACTATCTGGAAAATCCCTGCTGGGTGTTCAGGAAGTCCCCCCTGAACTTCAGTGACAAGCTGAAGTCACTGAACTGAACAGGTCAGTCCTGATGATTACATGAGAACTGACTGAGAGAACCAATGAAGAAATAACTCTTTTCTCTAGCCTCATTTTGCCAGAAGTGTATGTTGAAATTGTATGCCTGCCTTGTTCTTTTGTTGCTTTTATCATGAAAACGTAGAATTACTTTAGTATGACCCAAAATTTGTTTTAGCATTAGGATTTGGGGGAGGCAGTTATACTTATGTCAAAAATGAAGCGGTCTTAAGTTCTTTCTGGAAGGAGTATAGGGTACACATAAGTGTATCTATACAAAGGCATAAGCAACAGTTATTGGCAGGAAAAGCATTAGATCATCACCATCAAAAAACCATGTGGCCAGCCCCTAGCAGTTCCATCCCAGGCCCTCCGGGAGGGGATGGACAGCGTTTGCACGGGGGCCTTCCCCGGACCCCCATGGGCTGGCGGGCTGGGCTGCCCCTCACTTGCCCGGCAGTGGCTGCCTCCTGTTAGCTTCAGTGTGCCAGGTCCACGCCTGTGATGTTTTTGTCCCCCAGCCAGTTGGAGAAGGAAGAGGAGAAAGAAGGTGCCGAGATGGAAGAGTTGGTGGGAAAGTTGGCGCTGCTGCAAGCGCAGAAACAGAGCCTGCTCTTAGAGAAGAACAGTCTGGCTGCGAGAAACCAAGCACTGGGAGAAGAACTCGACAGGGCACAGAAAATAAATAGGTTTTTATCTATTTTTTCTTAAGCGGGTTTGTTTTGTTGTGTGTATTTGTTTTTTAGTATTAAAAAGAGAAAATTAAATATTCTCTTTTATTTTCTTTGTCTTTTTCTAATATTGGCTATAAAGTGGAAAAGGATCATTGAGATTACTGGGTATCAAAAGAAAACTATAGTAAAGGCTGTTCTGTTGGCCACTGTTAGCCAACATTTCTCAGGTCTCTAGATCGATTATAGTTGATGGTCCTAATGATGACCCTAAGACTCTGAAAGTCCTAGAAGTTCTTTTCCTACACATTTCTCAAAAGTCAGCTTTGGGTCACTGGATTCCGTTTTCAAAAGCATCTTTTTAGAACATGATCCAAAAAAATGAATGGAATAATACATACAAAGTAGCCTGTTGACAGTGTTAAGTGTTTTGTGATACCTGTTGACTTGATTTGGAGTCAATAACTATGCTTCACTTAACTCCCTAACCTCTTTTCAACCTGAAACTTAATAGAGTTAGGTTGCTGAAGAATACATTTAAATGCTAACATACTTGCTGTTTTTACAGTGCAGATATTCACTATGTCCTAGCCATTCAGGCTAATGAGTTTTTTATTCCACCATTTGGGGGAACTCTCTAGGAGGTCTCAAAAGAAAATTGATGTCCTCAAAAAGCAGGTGGAAAAAGCCATGGAGAACGAAATGTCTGCTCACCAGTACCTGGCAAATCTTGTCAGCCTGGCAGAGAACGTAACCCAGGAACGCGACAATCTTATGTATTTGGTAAGCTCCCTCACTTCCTTCAAGTACACTGAAAGTCAACATGCAAATGTGATTTTAAGAGCGTTTTCTTGGGGTGCCTGGGTGGTTCAGTCAGTTGAACACCTGACTGGATTTCAGCTCAGGTCTTGATCTCAGGGTCCTGGGATCGAGCCCCGTGTCAGGCTCCACGCTCAGTAGGGAGTCTGCCTGAGATGCGCTCTCTCCTTCTCCCCTCCACCCACTTTCTCTCCCCCTCTCTCCCTCAAATATTTTTTTAAAAAAGCATTTTCAATACAAAATTATCCACAGAAGGCTTCATCTTTTTAAATTTTAACTGCACATTTTCAGATTCTCCAAAATTTTAGCTTTCAACCATGGGGGAAAAACATTTTCAAAAGGCGAATAACCCAGACTTTTAAATAATGGTAAATGGTATTTTCAGAGGTGAACTAATGGAATTAGTCCATTTAACCAACTAGAGCAGGAGCCACCAGGTGTTCATTACACACGCGTCTTCGTGTTCTCTCCCCAAAGCTGACTTAATGTGTTCCCTGGGTGAAGGTGAAACAGAACCATAGGCAGGTTAAGTAGAGTTCGTCCCCAAGTTGCTTCTGGCTGCTCTAGTCCCAAGGACGGAACTGAGGGGATGATTGCTGGTCCTAGATGACGGAGCTCTGCCCGGCAGGCAGGAGCGATGCCACCAACATGATGTTTGGCATTTCCACAGATTTTATTTTTTTAAACAGTTTAATTCTCAAAATTTCTCTCTTTTTTATGATTTCATTTATTAGAGAGAGAGAGAGAGAGAGAGCACGAGCTGGGGGAGGGGCAAAGGGAGAAGCAGACTCCCCACTGAGCAGAGAGCTGGACATGCAGCTGGATCCCAGGATCCTGAGATCATGACCTGATCCGAAGGCAAATGCTTAAGCGACTGAGCCATCTAGTCACCCCTTCCACACTGATTTTAAAAGGTGTCAGCCATTGGGGCGCCTGGGTGGCTCAGTGGGTTGAAGCCTCCGCCTTTGGCTCAGGTCATGATCCCAGGGTCCTGGGATCAAGCCCTGAATCAGGTTCTCTGCTCAGCAGGGAGCCTGCTTCCTCCTCTCTCTCTGCCTGCTTCTCTGCCTACTTGTGATTTCTGTCTGTCAAATAAATAAATAAAATCTTAAAAAAAAAAAAAAAAGGTATCAGCCATAGGGCCATGCAGTGAAAGAAGACAGACACTGCCAAGCTAGACACAGTGAAAAAGCCCGATAGAATTTACCGCAGACTAGGACTTACCTAACGGTATCTCCAGATGGTGAAATAACAGGCAACGAAAAAGAAATCTTGCTTAGTTGCACTTGATGATTTTTCAACTTTGAGCACATGTTGCTTACATACATTTAAACGTTTGTTTAAGCAATGTTGCGGATCTCTGGTATCCTAGCATTAGAAGCAGTAGTTGAGTGGGTGTCATGACAGAGGAGACCAGAGGACTTCCTGAGGCAGTTGGAAATTGGCAAACTTGGAATCACTCAGCCCCTCCTGCAGGTGAATGGTCTGGGGAGTCTGGTAGGGCATGGCGCGGGCTTGTTCACGTCTGCTAGGAAGATATCAGCTCCTCCATAGGGAAGTGGACGCAGGCTTTTAGCTATTGTTTATATAAGAGGAAATATAAATAGCACACAGCTCTTGGGGGAAAATGTGATCCTCACTTGTAATAAAAGATGCTAATTAATCCACTCTTGAGGTACCATTCTGTACTTGCAAGGTCACCAAAAAAAAAAAGGGTTTTTTTTTTTTTTTTTTTTAATTATAATAGTTTTTGGTAGGAGTGTGGTTACATGTTAGTGGTGATCTCTGAGTCCTTTCAGGGTATTTTATTTATTTATTTTTTAATAAGTTTTCATTTATTTATTTATTTGACATAGAGCGATCTCACAAGCAGGCAGAGAGGCAGGCAGAGAGAAGGGGGAAGCAGGCTCCCCGCTGAACAGAGAGCCTGATGCAGGGCTTGATCCCAGGACCCTGAGACCATGACCTGAGCCGAAGGCAGAGGCTTAACCCATTTAGCCACCCAGGTGCCCCCTTTCTGGGTCTTTTAGAAGCAGTGTAATTCAGACACAGCATGGTAGGAGCTGAAGCACGCATTCCCCCTGCCGTAGCAGCCCCCCTCCTGAAATATCACCACCCTGACCCGTGCTAGACTCGGGCATTTTCTGTAGCAGTGCTGAGCGCCCTTTTCCTTTTCTGCTGTGCATCCTGGGCTTATCTCCCTGGAATGGCAAAAGTGCAAAAAAGAAGCTTGCTGGAGAATTGACCTCCCATGTGGGCCAGTGATCTCCCAAGTTTCCATGATGAAGTTGAGATCCTCCCCAGCCCTCACATGGTCTCTCTTAGGCCCACCCCTCATATCTGTGGGCCCAGGATGGGAATATAAATGGGAGCCATATACTGTTTGTGCGAATACTCAGAAATTAAGCCAACAGTCTGTTAATGAACTGTGTTCTCTCTTCCTGCCTGACCTTCATTATTATGGCCTGAAAGCAAGGTTTAGGTTTAGAACCCTTAGGCCCCTCAGATTTGGGGGAGTTGCTTTCATCCCACCCTACCTCCGCCCACCACAAGGGACTTCTGTGTATTTACAGACACTGCTGTCCCCTTGCCCCTGCAAACTCCTTGCACCCGGGAGCCCCAAGGTCAGCCCCTCTACTTGGGGTCCTGGGGTGGTACTGGCTGCCTCTGCCCTGCCTGGGACTGTGGGCCAAGCATCCCAACCTTACTTACCCTGTCCTGGTCTCCTAGACCTTAATTTATTGAAAGTGGCATCTTAATTACTACTTCTTTCTTTCTCTCTGTCTTTTTTTTTTTTTTTTTAAGATTTTATGTGTTTATTTGTCAGAGAGAGAGCACAAGCTGGGGGAGCGGCAGGCAGAGGGAGAAGCAGGCTCCCAGCTGAGCAAGGAGCCCAATGCAGGACTCTATCCCAGGACCATGGGATTATGACCTGAGCCGAAGGCAGATGCTTAACCGACTGAGCCATCCAGGCGTCCCGAAAGTGCCGTCTTAATTTCTAATCCCACCTTTAGGATGGGTTTTCCATGTGACTTATGGCAAGTTATTTAACTTTGTGTCTTATTTTTTCCTTTCTGAAGGAAATCAAATGAAATCAAATTGTCATTCTGGCCTGCCTTAGAAGGAATGCTCACCTTTGCTTTTTTAATTTTAGCTTTGAAATAATTTACAGTGTGTAGCAATTCATGTCCCATCTGATATTCATCTAAATCATTCAGCTTCAGGGGACATTCCTCTTGGCTGTGGTGCCATCACATTTGGTTTGGTGAATGGCATTGTGTATTCACGTTATCCTTAATTTTGTAATTATTCAGGTAGTCAAGCTAAAAGTTTATTTGCATCTTGACACTTATTCCTTGGATACGACTGAAGGAATGCTGTATTCCACAAGCACAGAGAAGTGTGCTGGAAGCCCTTACAGCACATCCCCCTTGTTCTGGGGGCTCAGTCTTCTCTTGTTTCCCAGGTGGGGCCCCCACCTGCTCCTCTGGGTTCTTGCCCCACCTCAGCTATTGGCCCAAGTTCTGTCCACATCTCTCACACAGGGAGTGGGGGGCAGGTGGGGTGGTGGGCCGGGCTAAGTGGCAGAATAGAGATTACTTGTGAGGAAAATGATCTTTGCAGAAAAATTATTGTTTTAACTTCTCTGTTAAACTAAGAAGAGCCCATTCTTTTTCTTTTCATTTTTCTCCTTAGGCTAAATGTTTACAAACTGAGAAGCATGGCGTTCTCAACAAAATCATAGAAGGCAATATTCGCTTGGGAAGGTTAGAAGAAAAAGTCAAGGTAAGTGGCCATTAGCCTCAGAGGTGCCATTTTCAAATGGAAACAGCAGCTCCCTGGGGTCAGACTTTTACATGTTTAAAAAAATGAGTCATGTCACATGTATGTATCATGCTAATCATGCACAGGGTCAAACAGTATTGCATATAGACCAGTCCACTCATTAATAGTCTGGCTTATCTGTACAATAAGATACCACGCCGCTGTTTAAAAGAAGAAAAATGCTATGGAAAAATCTCCAGTCTCTATCCTGACGTTAATGTGCAGCCTTTACGCTCAAGCCCAGGATTTGTCGGTTCAGTTGGGAGCAAGGTTGACCCTCTTCTCTCTAGCTTAACCCTAATTGCACCCTCCAGTTTCTCTGCCCAAGAAAACTATTGTCGGGGTACTAGCTCTCCTCCCCTAGGCAGCCTCCCTCACCTGAGCTCTAATGTCCCCACCAGCGATGTTCTGACTGCCGGCCTCCTCCACTGCCTTCCCAGCCAGACTGACTTCTCTGGAGCAAGAGCAGGGGTGCGGGCAGGCTAGAGTCCTGGATGGGAAGGAGAAGGTCTGTGAGGACATTTAGCTCTGGCGTGGGGAATGAGATTTGGACCTCTGTCGGATAATGATGAAAAAGGCCTGACACATGAAGAAATAGATTGATGACATTTACTATGTTGGGAACTTAACTAAGACAAAACATTGGCTGGCTCTGTGTACAGCCAGGTGTATATACATATGTATGTAAATATGTTATGACTTTGTTTTGTTCTAGGGAACATGAGTCCTAAATTATTTATTTTTTAAAAGTTATTAACTTCTTTAACTTTAAAAGTTAAAATAACTTTAAAATAACTTTAAAAGTTATTAACTTTGCTCAGCCCTAATGCAAAGAACAGACTTTTTTTCTTGGTGTTTAATGAATATTGCAATCCTAAATAACATGAACATCAAGGTTTTGGAAGCCACACAGCCTGTTCTTCATGATTTTCAAGTGGTACAGAGTTGCTCCCTGAGGGCCTTTCTGGTTTCCAGTAGGATCTGCCACATACAACATCCCTTAGATACCCTTACCCTGTTCTGGATTCTGCCTGGGTCTGGGCTGTCCCCAGGGAAGATCACCTCCATCTAACAAAATTCAGAGACTAACATACCCTCCAGCACATCACTGTTCTCACTGATAATGGGCAATGGCCTTTGAGGTGAGGGGAGTTCCCACCACACATCAGGGAACTCATTCCTTCTATGGGCCAGAGCAGCTCCACTCCTGTTCCCACATGTGGGCTTTTAGGCATGATGCTATTTGAAGAAAGAGTTGCTTTGCTAAAAGGAAAGTTGAAAATGCTACATTTGTCCTCTACCCAGAACTCAGGGCAACTGATCCTGTGGCATCGGGTGGTAGGAATGACTTAATTTAACCAGATAGCTTTGGGAGTTGTGTTGACTTCTAAAATGTCATCTGAGATTCCTAGCAGAAATCATAGTTTTCTGGGAATTTTATTTCTGACACAGTTTTGAAGTCAGTGAGTATATGGTAAGTTTAATCTTCAAGTACACTTAGTTGTTACCTAACTAGGTAGGATAAAGAAAAAGAAATCCATATCTAGACAAGGGTGCCCGGGTGGCTTGGTCGTTGTAAGCGTCCAGCTCTTGGTTTCAGCTCAGGTTGTGATCCTGGCATCGTGGGATCAAGCCCCGCATCAGGCTTCTCGCTCAGTGCAGAGTTGCTTGTCCCTCCTCCTCTGCTCCCCCAGCTTTCTCTCTCTTTCTCAAATAAATAAGTAAAATCCTAAAAAGAAAAAAGAAAAAGGAAAAGAAAACCTTGGACACCCAGGCAAAAGGCCAAGACATAAGAAAAAGAAAACTGTGTTGGCCTCACACTTCTCCACAGCAATACTGAATACCAGAGAGCAGTGCAATGCCTTTTATAAATATTCAAGGAGACGGAGTATGAGCCAAGTATGTTTCCATCCAACCAAGCTACTCTTCCAGCAGTTTTGACCATGTAAGAACTCCAGGCACAGTTTTCCTGTACATCTCACCTGAAGATTAATCAACTTGAGTTCAGCCAATCAAGAAACAATTGGGCAAGTTCCAGAAGAGTAGTGAGCAAAGGATAAATTTAACTGGAGCTATGACTATAGTGAAGCAGGGATAAGGCTGATGGAGTAAAATGCAAATGTTTTTTGACAATGTGGAATTAATACAACCGAGGGAAAACTGATAGGTCAAGGAGGTAGCAAAGTAGAAAGTAGAACTAGCTGATTGCATCATGGTCATAACTCAGAGTTCAAAGGATATCATTTCAAGCTGAAAAATCAGTAGGAGGAGCTTAAACATATTTAAGTAGGGCAAGAAAAGGTTGTGAGCTAACATTATGTTACTTTTGCTAAATGAAAGGACTAAGGATATGTAATGTAAAGGCATGAGAATAAAAGTCACCACAAGAATCGAGAGAGATCCATTCCCAAATAGAATTACAACAGCGAAAAGAACAGAGAAAACGGACTATATTCAAGTCTTTAAAAATGTAGGTAAATAAAATAACAAAATTGAGACCCAACAAATACAAATGAGCTAATTCACCCATGAAAAGAAAACTGATTGATAATGAAGCAAATGATATTCCATGATGGAGCCAACGGACAGTCTGAAACCAAGTGCATCCGAAAGCTGAAGAGTAAAAGGATGAGTAAAGATAATCCAGAGGTATGCAAACAGAAAGAACAAAAGCATAGTTGCAATCTTTACATGTGCTGAGATAGAGTTCAGGCCAAAAGGCCTAAATGAAACAAACTAAAGAAATGCTAAAGACTGCAATTAATGGCGTATAGTAGCTGTGAATATTTATGCACTAAATAAACAGAAAATCTGTGTAACACAGCAAAATAGGGAAATGGAAGCATAGTAATAATCGGAGCTTTAGGGTCACCTGGGTGGCTCAATGGGTTAAAGCCTCTGCCTTTGGCTCGGGCCATGATTCCAGAGTCCTGGGATGGAGCCCCACATCCCCACATCCTGCTCTCTGCTCCGCAGGGAGCCTGCTTCCCTCTCTCTCTGCCTGCCTCTCTGCCTACTTGTGATCTCTGTCTGTCAAATAAATAAAATCTTAAAAAAAATTTTTTTTTAAATAATAGGAGCTTTAATCTTCTCTTGGTCCAAGACAGATCAAGAGATGAAACAAAAGTAACTAAGGATATGGAAGATTTAACAAAATCTGTGAGGTTTATTTGTGTGTGTGTGTTTGTGTATAACTGACTGACTGTAGATTGGCTCAAAAAGTAACCCCTAGAGTAGAAATAAGGCACATTTGTTGATCAAAAAGCTAAAATCCAGAAATTAATAAACAATCAGAAAGCAAAAAAATACTCTTTTAGCTGGAAATGTAAAAACCATGAAGTAAACCAGTTGTTGGATCGGAGGGAATGTATAAACTGTCAGTTTCTAAATAGAATTGATACACTAGTTAGAATGGCAAAAATTAAGACAAGAAACAACAAATATTGGCAAGGATATGGAGAAAGGAGAACCCTCTTACACTGTTGGTGGGAATGCAAGTTGGTACAGCCACTCTGGAAAACAGTATGGAGGTTCCTCAAGACATTAAAAATAGAGCTACCCTATGACCCTGCAATTGCACTACTGGCTTTTACCCCAAAGATACAGATCTAGTGAAAAGAAGGGGCACATGCACCCCAATGTTCATAGCAGCAATGTCCACAATAGCCAAACTGTGGAAGGAGCCAAGATGCCCTTCAACAGACGAATGGATAAAGAAGATATGGTCCATATATACAATGGAATATTACTCGGCCATCAGAAAGGATGAATACCCAACTTTTGCATCAACATGGCTGGGACTGGAGGGGCTTACGCTAAGGGAAATAAGTCAGCCAGAGAAAGACAATTATCATATGGTCTCACTCATACATAGAAAATAAGGAATAAGTGTGGAGGACCATAGGGCAAGGGAGGGAAAACTGAATGGGAAGACAAACCATGAGAGACTGGACTTCTAAATGGAATTGAATCTGTGTCAAGTACAAATTAGAATCTCTGTAACCCCACTTTTAGAAATGCTCAGAAGGAAGTCATACCTTAAATACTACCCAGAAAAAAATGGAGAAGGAAAATAAATGCATCAGGCTTTTATCTCTGTCATCTGTTTACCAATAGAGTGTGACAGACCCCGCCAGGTTGGTCTGTTTTGAGTTGTAGCATATTAAAAACTAGGTCTGATAAAAATGAGAAATTTGGTTTCCATATACTTGGTATTCTGTTTTTACTCTCTGTGACTTTTATGATTTTATGAGCCAGACTTGCCCTCCCAGATCAGACTTTTGCAAGGTTTACTCATCATCTCAGTGGGCTCTGATAGCCCAGACAGGGAGGGTAGGGGAGGGTACACATCTGGGAAGCCACCCCCTGGGCGACAGGCAGCATCCCCTCACTCACACGGGGCCTCCTCTCTCTCCCAGGGGTACAAGAAGCAGGCGGCACTGAAAGTGGATGACATCAGTCACCGCCTGACGGAGCAGCAGGAAGACTTCACCAGCAGGACAGCTCAGTACCAGCAAGAGATGAGGCGCCTGCATCAGATGCTGCAGGACAAGCAGGATATCCTGGACCAGGCCCTGCAGCAGAAACGGTAGGGCCGCCCCAACCCCACAGAGGAGGTCTGGTTGCGGATGTTGGCCAGAATTTTCTAGTAAAACCCCCTGGACCCGTTCTGTTTATCTTTTACATTTAAGTTTTATCTGAATGTAATATTGGTTTTGATTCTTTTTTTTTTTTTTAAGATTTTATATATTTATTTATTTGACAGACAGAGATCACAAGTAGGCAGAGAGAAAGGGGGTGGGAAGCAGGCTCCCTGCTCAGCGGAGAGCCCGATGTGGGGCTCGATCCCAGGACCCTGGGATCATGACCTAAGCTGAAGGCAGAGGCTTTAACTCACTGAGCCACCCAGGTGCCCCTGGTCTTGATTCTTATTTGCTCATTTTCTTTTTAAATGTTTTCCCCTGGGCACCTGGGTGGCTCAGTGGGTTAAGCCGCTGCCTTTGGCTCGGGTCATGATCTCAGGGTCCTGGGATCGAGTCCCTCATTGGGCTCTCTGCTCGGCAGGGAGCCTGCTTCCCTCTCTCTCTCTCTGCCTGCCTGTCTACTTGTGATCTCTCTCTGTCAAATAAATAAATAAAATCTTAAAAAAAAAATGTTTTCCCCCAGCAATTGACATACAGGATTGTGTAAGTTTAAGGTGTATAATGTGATGGTTTGATTTCATGTGTATCCTGTGAAATGATTGCCACCACAAGGCTAGTCAACACCGCCCTTGTCTTGCCTAATTCGCATTTTGTTATGGGCAGGAATGGGCTCCCAGCAGCTTTCAGGTATACAACACGTGCTGTGCTCCTCATTTTCCTAATCCCCCCTGGAGAGCTCCCCATTGTTTGAATATTGGACTTCTTAAATCAGTCCAGACCTCTAATTGTCCTTCCCTCTTTTCTCCTCTCTTTGATGCTTTTGTTTTTCTTGGGATTTAAAAATTTTTTTATCAAGTGTCTTATTTCTGATTTTTCTTTTTTTTTCATTTCTGAGGATTTTAAAATCTCTGATCATTCCCTTCTTGTAAGATCATGATCATGAGATGATGGCCGCATGATGTTCTCTGTGCATGTAAGGTACTAAATCAGTTACCCTTTACCCTTTAAACGTGGACCCTTTAAACATGGGCTAGAGGAAGTGTTGCCAGTGTATGAAAAACAGTGGGGAATGTCGTGTGCTCCGTGAAGGTGAACTTGCTGGTCCTTTGTGCTTAACTCTACATTTTCACACTGGCCATGCTGTCTTTGCCAGACTGGAACATGAACTGGTGGGCGCAGAAGAATCATAATGCATGCGTGGGATTTCTTCAGGTTGTAGGACGATCTGTCATGCAGAATGCAGATAGCTGTTTTCCACCAGCCAGACGCTTCATAAATGCAAAGCAGGATGAGCTCTTACCTGCCATGCCTATCATGACTTCTGGAGTCACAGAAGTTCTTACCGCCATACACAGCTGCTTTGTAAAAAGTTGAGCCAATACCAGATTTCTTGCTAGATAGTTGGTTTAGAATCGCAGTAATAAAATGACATTTTGTTTTTCATTTTTTCCCCTTATTCCACTGTCTGTCCTTAGATCATTGAAAGTTATGCATTCTATTTCTGTACTTTCAGTGGCTACCCTTAAAATTTTACCATGGATATTTAACATTAAAAATCTTAATTTAGGGGTGCCTGGGTGGCTCAGTTGGTTAAGTGACCAACTCTTGATTTCAGCTCAGGTTTCGATCTCAGGGTTGTGAGTTCAAGCCCTACGTTGGGCTAAAAAAAAAAAAAAATCTTACTTAAATTTAGACATGTCTACATTTCTTCCCCCCCTCCAGTGCAGTAACTAATGCTCTTTTCTAATTCTTTCCCCCCTCAGTTTATATGATGTCATCTAGTATCATTCTGTAGATAAAAGTGAAGACCAAAGATCTATTTTATATCATCTTTAGCCTCCCCCCAATTAAATGTTACTAGTTTCTATATAATTCTTTATTTTGATTTACCCACAGGTACCAATTTCTTTACTTACTGATTATTATAAACAAGACAACAGACCCAAAATGAGTCTCACGTATGCTGGGCCCACACATCACCAAACCAAGACTTGACTTAATTACAGTTTGGCTCTTCCAGAAAGGGAATCTTAAACTGGTTAGTCAAGAATTGTGTAGTCGGGGCGCCTGGGTGGCTCAGTGGGTTAAAGCCTCTGCCTTAGGCTCAGGTCATGATCCCAGGGTCCTGGGATCGAGCCCCACATCGGGCTCTCTGCTCAGCAGGGAGACTGTTTCCCTTCCTCTCTCTGCCTGCCTCTCTGCCTACTTGTGATCTCTGTCAAATAAATAAAATCTTTAAAAAAAAAAAAAAAAAAAAGAATTGTGTAGTCAGTGCTACTTAGGTCATATGCCTGGGAGACCCTTGCCGTCCCCTAAAGGAAAGTAACTTTGCAATAACCAACCCGCTTTTACTGAATATAATTTCTTTATTCCTGCTTCCTTCTGCCTAAAAAAGTCTTTCATTTTGTACAGTTCCTCAGAGCTCCTTTCTCTTTGCTAGGTGGGATGCTGCCCAATTCGAGTTGAGTTTTGCTCAAATAAACTCTTAAAATTTTCTTATTTCTTCAGTTTATCTTTTAATATATCCCCTCTAACATCTCAGACCTTATTTCTCGGATTAGTTTCCTTCTTCCTAAAATACATTGTTTAGAAGTTTCTTTAGTAAGAGTCTGTTGGGAGTGAGCTTTCTTAGTTTCTGTTTACCTGGAAATGTCTGCATTTTTCCTTCATCCTTGTAAGATAATTCTTGTCACCTACAGAATTTTACGTTGACAGTCTTCTATCAGCATATTCTACTATCTTCTCTGCTTGAGAAGGCTCTTTTGACAAGCCGAAAGACAAGTGTCTGACAAGCCTTTTGTCATTTTTAAAAATAATTGACATGGGGCACCTGGGTGGTTCAGTCGGTTGTGTCCAACTCTTGATCTCAGCTCAGGGCACGATCTCAGGGTTGTCAGTCTGAGCCCCATGCCAGACTCTGTGCTCAGAGCAGAGTCTGCTTGAGATTCTCTGTCCCCCCCTCTCTGTCCCTCCCCACCACTTGTGTGCTCTCTCTTTAAATAAGTAAGGGGGTGCCTAGGTGGTTCAGTTCATTAAGTGTCTGCCTTCAACTCAGGTCATGACACCAGGATCCTGGGATCAAGCCCCACATCGGGCTCCCTGCTCAGCTGAAAGACTGCTTTCCCTCTCCCACTCCCCCTGCTCGTGTTCCTGTTCTTGCTGTCTCTCTCTCTCACTGTCAAATAAATAAAATTTTTAAAAAATAAAAATAAAAAAATTAAATAAGTAAAATCTTAAAGGTTTCCTTCGTCTCTTGTATTCTGCAATTTCATTGGTATATAATTAACTGTAAGCTTCTTTTTACTTATCTACTTGGTGTAAGTTACTCTGTATATCTGTGATTATGATTTTTCATTAGAAAATTCTCATCTGGGGCACCTGGGTGGCTCAGGGGGTTAAAGCCTCTGCCTTCAGCTCAGGTCATGATCTCAGGGTTCTGGGATCGAGCCCCACATGGGGCTCTCTGCTCAGCAGGGAGCCTGCTTCCCTTCCTCTCTCTCTGCCTGCCTCTCTGCCTACTTGTGATCTCTATCTGTCAAATAAATAAATAAAATCTTAAAAAAAAAAAGGTAGGACCTCAAAAAAAAAAAAAAAGTAGGACTTCCTTTAAAAAAAAAAAAAAAGAAAATTCTCATCTCGTAAAATAAGCCATTATCTCTTAAAATTAATTATTTCCCCTTATTCTTTCTAAATGTCCTTCTGGAGCTCAGATTAAATGTATGTTAGACCTTCCATATGCCTTATGTTTTAAATTTTCCATCTTTTTGTTTGATAATTTCTTCTGCTCAGTATTCCTGTTTACTGATTCTCCCTTCAGTTGTGTTCAGTGTACCATTTAACCTAGCCACTGAGTTGTTTTGTTTTGTTTTTAGTCAGCAACATTGTATTTCATTTTCAGTTCTATTTGGTTCTTTTGAAAATCTGGCTAGTCGTTTTTAAAATAAAGTCTTGGTCTTTCTTTTTTTATTTTTTATTTTTTTTATTTTTTATTTTTTTAAGAGAAAGGAGTTTTGTTTGTTTTGTTTTTTGTTTTTTTGTGTTTTTTTTTTTAGATTTTATTTATTTATTTGACAGACAGAGATCACAAGCAGGCAGAGAGGCAGGCAGAGAGACAGGAGGAAGCAGGCTCCCTTCTGAGCAGAGAGCCCGATGCGGGACTCGATCCCAGGACTCCAAGATCATGACCTGAGCCGAAGGCAGCGGCTTAACCCACTGAGCCACTCAGGCGCCCCGGTCTTTCTTTTTTTAAATACATCTTTTGTTTCTTTTAACATTTCATTTGTAGTTATTTTTTCAATATCGGAAATTTAGAAGAGCTTAAATTTTTTTTTTTTTGACTCTTGCTTTACGTGGCTTGTTTCTTTCTATGTACAACAAATTTTTAACTATGAACGCATATATGGTTGAATTAAATCTATGGAGTCCTGAGGTTCTAGATTAAGGACGTTTTTCTCTACAGAAGATTTGCATTTGCTTCTCTTTGGTGCAAGAGAATATTTCTAACCTGGAGTCACTTTAATTTCATTACTAATTTTAAAAAATGGGCTATAGTAATATTTTTCAAAAAAATACAAACACTTTCAAAAGTCTTTTAAAAATGCTTTTATTACATTTATTATATATTATGTATTATATTTTAAAATGCTGTTATTGCATTTATAATGTATAACTCCTTAATACCTGGTATTTTTCTACTGTATTCGGAGCGATTTCCTCTGCTCTATATTAGTTTGCTAATTCCCTCCTCAGTTGTGTCCAGTGTACTATGTAACCCATCCATTGAGCCCTTCCCCTAATTGTGTCTAAAATGGCTGTTCACTCCACACAGGTCCTGGGGGTGCCCAATCCTGGGGAACAATGTAGATTCAGACTCCAGATCCATTTGAGAACGAGCTGGTGGCTGCAGACCCCTAGGAGGCACTTAGCCTCTCAGAGCAGGTTTCTGTTGAAGATGGCAGCTTTTGCACTGAGCCCTGCTTTCTTTGAGGGCCCTTCACGTGTCTCCACTTACTTGCCCAATTGTGGAGCACGTGGTTCGTTCAGAATGTTTCTAGGAAGACGGGGAATAACATGGATATGAGTGAGCCTTGGGGTTTTCTGTCCTACCCAGTTTGCATGGACCCAACAGCTAGTCTCCATCCTACAAAAATGTGAGTTCCTGGCATGAACTTTTGTCCTCAGAACAATAAGCAGTAACAACATTCTGTTCCCTCCCTCTGTGCTTTCAGTTTAGTCTTTATTTCTTTCTGCCCTTAGAGACTTGCTGTTCTTATTTTGAGTTCGGCCACACATGTGTCATGATTGCTGTAATTTATCAAACATCTAGGTGTTTTGTACCAGAAAAGAGAAATTTGGAGATTTTTAAAACACAGTTTAATCAAATAGCACCCAACATTCAGTGGGCACTGGGGGGCTTGGAAAGAAGGAACAGTTCACAAGAGAAGTGACATTGGACCAAGTGGGCATGCCACTGGCCTCCTTGAATCTCATTGTCTTTCTCCTTAAATAGCACTGCTCACCCCATTTGGTAGTGCAGTTTCTAGCATCTTCCATAACCATCTAGCCACATCTATGAAGGAGCTGGCCTCCCCACCGTGCTCTCCTGCACGAGGCCTGCTCTTCACCCCAGGCTGAGGCTGGTCTTTCTGTCCCCCTCACTCTCCAGTGGGGTCCACCATCCTGTGAGGTAGCAGCTGGTACCCCGATCTGTTTCTCCTGAAGACCACGGCCCTGTGAGGACACGGATACCTTGTCAGCCCCGCTTCCTCAGCACTCTACATGCTACCCATCACAGAGTCCTTGGTATCCTTTCCTTAACTCGTACATCTCGGTTCCCTCTGAATGCTCACTCCTGGCACGTGATCTGTCTAGGCCAGTCTTTTCTGTGTCCTCGGTTATGAGCCTCACTCCACACAGTCCCCTCCTCACCTCCACACTCACTCTTTATGTCCAGGACCCCCCTTGACTCTGTGGATGGGTGTTTTGAGAGGAGCCTGATGTTGGCCGGGTCACAGCGGGGACAGGTAGAGGAGACACGGGAGAGGCTCACAGGGTTCATGCTGTGTGGGCGCCCACAGCTAGCCATTGTGCTTTAGGTCAGCCGCTGAGGGTATTGTGTTGTATTCTTATACATGTTAATTCTTTAGAGAACAATGGTCCAAAACAAAGGAGAAAGCAAAACTCAGTGTTTTTTCTATTTCCAGGACACCTCAGCATTTCATTCAGCCCTGACAGTCTCTGCCTCAGAACTCAAACACCATGGGATCTCTTCTCTGACATCAAGCATTCTTCCCTTTGAGTTCTGGCTACTTTAAGAATTGCAAGGGTTCTATAAATATTTTTCTCATTGTGCTGTTTTAACCATCTCTTTTGTGTATTTCTCAGAGAAATGGAAGGCGAGCTTGAGGTTGTTTGGCAGTCTACCTCCAAGGAGAACCAAAGAATCCGAGAGCTGCTGCAGGCCGTGCTGGAGAGGCCAGGTGTCTGGGACGGCACTAGGGAGGCGCGCTGGGAAGCCGTGGCTCCGGCTACCGTGACCTGAAGCCACCGCCTGCCACAGCCCACACCGTACCTGGGGCCTTGGCCGGGGGCTCTGCCTTACCCCAGCACTGGGAGGCACAGGAGAAGGGCCACAGCATTTCTCCTCACCAGGGCAAGGTAGAAATAAACTGTCTCAGAAATTTAATTTTTTAAATTTCTTTTTTTTTTTTTTACATTTTTTTTTACATTTTGCTTTTATCTGACTAATACAGGGCTGACCTCTATCTTTGCCTTGCCTTTAAGCTATATCTCGCCTTGTCGACTGCCTCGCCACTGAGCCAGGCTCTGTGAGCCCCGTTGCTCAGGGTGCCAGGGGACCCAAGGAGCTGGCCTGGCTCTGGGCGTCTAGACCCGCAGCCGGGAGAGTGTGGGAGCAAACAGGTGGTGGGACCGAGCACTCACACGGCGGGCTGGGGGCGTGGGCGCACTGAACGCGTCCAGTGCTGCTACTGTCATTGGCTCTGGGTGCTGTCCTGGCACATGGTAAAAGACAAGTGCTAGACTCACACCCCAGTAAGTTACACAACATCTGTTCTGCCCCGTCTCCCCGCCCTTCTTTATCCTTCTGGAAAGGCAACTTTTCTGGGGCCACACAGCACCAAGGTGGGGGTCCCTGCCCCAGCACCACCGCCGAGAAGGATGCCAGAGGCCAGGGTTCTGCTCCTCTTTGCCACCACCTCAGATGGGTGACCCCAGCTTCTCAGGGCCATCCCTGGCACTTCCTGGTGGCAGTGCCAGCCCCCTAGGCCTGCTTGTCCCTGGCATGCTGGAAGAACACGGGACATCAGGCTACACGGGCCCCTAGGAGCGGTGTGGAGGGCAGAATCCTGGAACAGAGCCTTATACAGGCGCCTCCCTGCACAGACCTGCCTCGGTGCAGCGTGTGCACAGGCCAGCCCTGGGTCCGGGTCGGGGGCAGAAGTTACACGCCTGAGCTCTGATTGCTAGCTGGGAGTTGAGGTAGAAGATCAGTTTTATGTTTTATTCAACTTGTTCAACAGTTCAAGGATTCTAACTTATTTTCATTTTACCAGAGGTAGGGTGACTCAACTGGGATTTCAAACTCTCCCCATCCTCTCCCTTGGAGGTGACCTAGCAAACAGCTTCAGTATTATTTCCAGGGAACCCAGCAGCTCTCCAGCAGCGCCAGGCAGCGTGTAAACAGGCTGCAAGGCCCCAGTGCCCCCGTGAGTCTCTCACCTTCCAGATCTGTGCTTGGTGGGTGGCTTGTGGTGGGAATCCTGCTGTTGTCACTTATGCAAAGAGCCACTTTTGTCATTCCTGGCTTTGTTCCGCCTTCTGTGAGAACATTTTGTTGCCTGGAGAAGTGAATGTTTGTACATTTCTGCCTTAAGTTTATTTCACGTTACAAGCATACTTGGCAAGTTTGGGGACCCCTGGACCTTGTCACGGCCAGACAGGGTTGGGCCCCACAGCTCCTGTGTTCAACCAGCCTCCCGTCGGATGCTGTCAGCATGTGGCAGGTGGGCTCTGAGTCCAGGGTGCAAAGGAGGGTCCACGCAGGCAAAGCGGTGAGAGACAAGGTAGCTGAGGGGCCCAGGGCCTGAGCTTCAATGCATTGTGAGGGATCTGGACTGCTCTGGGCCTTGCTGATGGGCAGGGTTTCAAGGGCTGGAGAATGACAGGGCTGTGTGCGCCGGGGTGAGAACTCAGGAGCCGCAGGAGGGGTGTTCGGGCTGGAGGTTGGGGTGAGAAGGGAGGCCAGATTGGCCTCGGGAAAGCCTGGACCTCTTCCAGGGGCCCGTCTGCTTGACCCTGCGGGTACCAGTCGGACCAGGAGCCGTGGCCTTTCCTGCTTGGTCCTGGGGAGGCGAACAGTTATGAAATGGATCCCAGGGACTCAAAGGGTCCCTGCTGCCTTTGGTGTTAGCAAAAAGTCGTCCAGGGGAATTGCAGACCAAGTGCAGAGAGGCCGGGGCCCAGCAGGCATGTGGGTGTGAGTTTGAGGTGACAGCGGGCAAGGAGCTGCCTTCAGTTTCCCATGACATCTGCACGGAGGGCTGGAGGGTTCGGAAGTGGCTCCTGCCCCTCAGGCTCCAAAAAGAATGGAAGAGGCCATCCTTTCCCAGGAGCTTCACACTGTGGAGATCAGTGTGTCCTCCAACTCTCAGGAGAGGAGAAAATCCCAAATTGGATTTCTTTCAGTGCAGTGTATTTATTCAGCAAATACACTTGGAGTGCTTATCTCTCTGCACCGTGTGGAGAACAATAGCGGTGACAAAGGCAGACATAATTACAGAGCATTCTAGGTGCTTGGAAGAAAACAGGACAGAAACAATGGCCTGGTCACCTTCATGGCTGCTGTGGCAGCTACAGGGTGAACTCTGTGCAGAACATTCAAAAAACAAAAATCTCAGGGGCGCCTGGGTGGCTCAGTGGGTTGAAGCCTCTGCCTTCAGCTCAGGTCATGATCCCAGGGTCCTGGGATTGAGCCCCACATCGGGCTCTCTGCTCGGTGGGGAGCCTGCTTCCCCCTCTCTCTCTGCCTGCCTCTCCGCCTACTTGTGATCTCTGTCAAATAAATAGATAAAATCTTAAAAAACAAAAACAAAAACAAAAATCTCATTGCACGGACTCACGGTCATGATCTTACCCTCCAAAACAAAAAATAGTTATCTTCCAGGAAGATTCTCTTTTCCTCCCATCTCCCAATGCCCTGCCCCGCTATCTTGCAGGAAATCTCGCCTTGTCAGTCGCTATGTGCTCTGCTCGTTCCTTTGTGTCCGAATTCCCAAGTGATGGTTTGTGCTGGGCCGTGCGATCCGAAGCTGCTTCACAGGGAAGTTGTGCCCAGACTCTGTGAAGGGCTGATCTCTGCTCGCAGGAAGGCGAGCCAGGGACACCGAGCCACGTAAAAGATGTCATTTCTCTGGGGAACATGAAAGGGAGTCGGGGGCGGGAAGTTCACGGAAGGAACTGGGTAGGAGGTAGCATTTCAGCGGGCGTTAAATGTGGAGTTGCATTTCCCCAGAAGAAGATTCTGAAAAGAAAGACGAGGACTCAGTAGGTGAAGATGAGGTCAGACCGGAGCATGGTTGGTCCTTTGTGCCAGACGACTGGCGCCCTGGAAGGAAGACAGCTGTGTGAGGACCGAGACAGACGCCCAGGGAGGACACTGTGCAACAAGAGTCAGGGTTGGAGAGACGCAGCTGCAGGCCAAGGGGGACACCCGGGAGTTCTGGCTACCCCAGAAGCTAGGAAGAGGCCGTGAAGGACCCCCTCCCGGGTTTCAGAGGGAGCACAGCCCATGCCCACACCTGGAGTTGGGACTTCTAGCCTCCAGAACCGAGGCGATAGATCTGTTGGTTTTTAGAGCCAGAAGAGGAGCTAAACAGGCCGGGCCCCCAGAGCCGGGGATTCCCAGAGCAAGCAGGGTGTCCTGGCAGGGACAGGGCAACTTTGTGTGTGCAGGGGCACAAGGGGGTGAGAACGCACCTTTTCAACCTAGTACATTTTAAAAGGTCATCGAACTACAGATTGCGGACTTCTGATGAAAATCTTGTGCTATATTGTGATGTGCTGGAAACATAAAATGTACCCCAGATTCTGAAGACTTAGAAGAAGAGTGTGAACTATCTCACCAATAATTTTTATACTGGTTATGTGTTGAGATAACATTTTGGATGTACTGGGTGAAATAAAACCTGTTGTGAAAATCGATTTCACCTGTTTTTGCTTCTACTTTTTAAAAAACGTGGCCACTGGAAAAAATTGAAACTATCTATGTGACTCACAGTATACTTCTCTTGCAGAGTTTGTGTGTGCACCCGAATGTGAAAGGCAAAACTGAGATAAATCATGACATTGGGGAGGGATTGCTTTCTTTCTCTTTCTTAAGATTTTATTTATTTATTTATTTATTGAAGAACGTGGAACAGGAGCAGAGGGCTTCTGGGGCTTCCATGCAGCTTTGGGGGCACCGGGAAGAAAGAGGCCAGGCTGGTTGCCTGCTCCTTGGCGGGATGTTTCTCATTGTGCCTGGGACCCTCGCCTGGTGCGGTTCCCAGAGGCGAAGGTCTCCTCTGGTGGAAGGTGATGACGGGGTGTACTTGGGACAAGCAGCTGAGGAGTGGGGGAGTTCCTGTGTGGGAAGGGCTGGGCACCACAGAAAGTGCTTCTGTGAAGAAGGGCTTTCCTATTCCAGCAAGAACGTTTTAGGTGAAAGAGTCAGAGGAGACCGGGAAAGGCTCTCTGGCTTGTCCCTGGCCTCAAGCAGTCCCCCTTGATGGCTCACCCTGGCCCCGCGGTGTCCAGGATGCACATGGGGCTTGCACAGTGGAGCCCGCAGGAGCGGGCAGAGTAGGGCGGGAGCTGAAGCAGGAAGAGAGATGCGTGGAGTCCCGAGATTGGAGCCTGGACCCTGGGGTGAGCTAGAGCCTGCAAGCCTCCGCTGGGAGTGAGTGAGTTGGAGGGGTTGGCGGTGAGGGAGCAGCTCCCAGCAGCTCTGAGCTTGTGAACTGCCTGGTGTGGATCCACTTGCCTCAAGCTGCTGGGCTCAGTGTGGGGGTGGGGGGCTGGGGGGGGTGGGGTTACCTCCCCCCCCAGAGGACCCTCACACATGCCTAGATTTTCTGAAATGTAAGGTCTGGGTCACTCTGGGCAACCTCTCTCTTCTACACAGGATTCCATCAGCAGCAAAGACACCTCAAGTGTCCCACATCTAAAGGACAAGCCGCTCCTGGACCCCACGCTCTCTCTCGCCATCTCCTCTCCATGGAGAGCCTGAGCCCCGGGGCACTGCTTTTGCTGCACATTTGCACGTGTGTGCGCTATTTCTGGGAAAACACCAAGGGCTGGATTTGCCGCATCCTGGGAGCACATGTGTGTTTAACTGTGTAACGTGTCTCCAGCACATGAGGACGAATCTTGCGTGTCTCCACTGACATGATGTCCTCAGTCAAATTCAGAGACTGAAAGTAGGATCTGGGGCGAAGGGGCAAACGGGGAGTTAGTGTTTAAAGGAGTGAGCGAATTCCTGTGTTAATTGTTTTATGGTGAAACTAAATCCTTGACATTGAAAAATTCTGCCCATTCTGCTGACTCTTTACAAGTTCTTCTGCCCCAAATCCAGGTAATAGGTGAGCACCAGGCTATATGGTCTTTGTGGTTCCCCAAAGGCTCTGAACCGTTACCGGCTGCAGCAGGAAAGGAATATAAGAACACATGAATTTAGGAACTGAAGGAAGTTTGGCAACTCGAAGGCACGTCTGGAACATGTTTGAGTGGTAAAGGCAGGTACAGCATCTCTGTGAGGGTTTGACCCTAACCCCTGAGGAGGAAGGTGAACCAGAGGACAGGTTAGCAAGAGTCTGGGGAGAAACAGATTCACTCGGTCCGGCCCAGCACCTCTGTAGAAACCATCATAGAAGAAGCGACCCAAATGTGTACCAGATAGAGACCCTGGGGTGCAGATGGTGTTCATGCAAAGTTGCAGGCACCTTTGCAATGGGAAAAAGCAAAGTTTGAAAGTGAGGGTCAAGAGCTTTAGCTGAAACTTAGGAACTAAGGGAGTGGTATGAAAAAAATCTCCATCTTGCCAGGAAGTGTGCTCTGAGAGGGTGAGAGGGAACAGGCTTCTGTGGGGCAAAACTTCAGCCCCGGGGTGGGGGGGGGGGGGGTTGGGGGAACCAGTTGGTGGGTATTAGGGCACGGATTGCATGGAGCACTGGGTGTGGTACAAAAAACAATGAATACTGTTATGCTGAAAATAAATTTTTAAAAATGATTAAAAAAAAAAACAAAACCCAGCCCCGTGGTGGGTGGGCTGGAGGCCTAAGGAGCCAAAGTTCTACCCACAGTGGGGGTGAGGGGTGGGGCTGTGAAAGCCAGATTATCCCCACCCCCACCCCACCCCACCCCCACCCCCAGGGCGAAATTATGCGAAGTGGCTGAACACTTACTCTGCCAGGGAAAAACAAAAAAAGGCAAGAGCTTCATGAAAGGACCCCAAATTCACAGAAGTGTATTTCTGACCCTTAACAAAGGAGCCCAGGCCCAGATGTTCCAAGCTCAGCACTTGGCACAGGCCCCAGGAGACCAGAGAGTCCATGGAAGCGTAAGGCTAACTTTCTATGAACCCTAGTGTTGCAGGAGGCGGGTGCGCAGGTGCTAGGCTCACTTACGGATACTTACAGATTTGGATCTGGATGCCTGGGGACAGGCTGAGTCACCTGCAGTCACAGGGTTGGCTCCTGGTGACACCCTCGCACCCACCTCCCAACTCCACTCCTCACATGATTTCTCTTAGACCTGCGGCCCTTGGGAGGCAACTTTGACCCGGGGAGGGTTCTGCGGTGTTTTGCAGACACAGAGGCGCTGGCAACGACCGTTTGAGCGCTGCTGTATTAGCAAAGACTAGCAATGACACAAACAAACCTGTCTGGGACTGCCAGCCGCCCTGCCGGTGGGAGGGTGGGAGGCTCTAGCCTCCTGGTGGCAGAGGGGGGAATGAGCCCATAGGGGAGCACTGTGCCCAGAGCACTGGGCATGGTGGGCAGGGGAGCAATGACTCTGAGACAGGGTCCTCACGTCCTCCAGATGGCTTTAAGCGACAACCCTGAGAAGTCCGCCTGCCCTAAGTGCCCTCAGTGCCACCACCCGTGGCTTGGCTGACTCTTTCCTGCGGCCTTTGATCTCTTTGGGGTCTCTGAGATGCTGTCAGATTGATCTCACTGTGAAACAACCAGAGGCTGATTTTGATAACAGTACAATGCTCCTGGCCGGGGGTTCTCCAGCCGGAAAAAGAATTTATCTGAGACAGGGATTAGAGCCGCCACCTGAGTCAGCCTTCCTGTGGAGGGTGGGTCTGTCCCCAGACCCTCCAGGCACTTCCGAAGCTCTGGGTTGGGGAGCTGGAGCTCTGTGGCCTTTTATCACTGGGGCCTCAGTTTCCCCATCAGGAAAGGGAAAGTGTGCGACCCGTTTTCTGCTCCACAGTCAGGTGAGCGCAGAGTGGGCTCTGGGAACAGGAGCACCACCAAATGACTGTCCCCGGCTGGGAGCTGCAGGTGCACTGGAAACCGGGAGCTGCACAAGGCCTCAGACCAGGGGCCGCGAGTTGCCAAACCCTTCTGCCTGTGCAATGGTGCTGGAACCCAGTCACTGCCCAAGGGGAGCAGGAAAGACTTGCCCACTCTCCTGCGGGCTTGACCCGAGCTAGGAGGAACGAAGACACCGCCCTGACTACTAGCCAGTTCCCCGAACAGCAGTTGCTCCTTACACAGCATGCCTGGGGCTATAAATCTAGCCTATTAAGGCAATAAAGGAGCTGGTTCCAAAGTTTATCCCCTCTGTTGCCAGTTTTTAGAAGGAGTTCCCCTCCCAAGATGTAGCCGATGTGGGGGTA